TAACAATAAACAGCATGCAATCCGCCTGCTAAAACTCTTCAATAACACCCATCCTAACATACAATTTACTATAAAGCACGAACAGAATAACATGTTCCACTTTCTTGGTGTTGCTATCAAACATAGGAGAGACGGGACAGTCCAACGTTCGCTTTATCGAAAAAGTACTTGGAATGACCTTTACCTGAATTTCAATAGTTTTTGTCCACTCAGCCACAAGAAGGCATTAGTTAAAACACCATTTTATAGGGCAGAAAAGATATGTACCACCGAAAAACTGGAAGAAGAATTAATGAACGTAGAAAAATGTCTAAAAGAAAACTTTTATCAACAAAAGTTTATTGACAAATATAAAAGGCCCAAGGAAAAGAAGACGGTAATAACTATGGTCAGTAAAAAGCCAGTATATATAAATCTTAACTTTAAAGGTGATAACATAGCACAAATAATCAACAAGAGACTGAATACAGCGCTAGCCAGAACTTATCTTAAGGCCAAACTTCAAATTCAGTATAAAACAACATGTTCAATAATTCAATCAAAGGTTGATAAGCATCCTTTTCATGTTACGGCCAATTGTATTTATAAATTTACGTGTACCTGCCAAAGCAGCTACATTGGCCGAACAAAAAGGAGGGCATATCTCAAATTTTTTGGACATTTTCCAAAAAGTCTTAGAACAAAGGAAAGAAAGACTTTGAATAGTGCAATCACCAAACATCTCCTTGATCCAAGACATCAGGTCGATACCCTACAATCATTCAAGGAGATTAGTAAGCAGCCAAACTCTAGTCTTCTGAAGTTTGTTGAAGCCGTTGCTATTAGACACCAAAAACCTGACCTATGTATTCAAAAGGAGACGGTGGTTAATCTTTCCTTGCCCTGGTGACAAATATTCCTTCACTGCACCATAAAATTTTTTTTATTTTTTCTTTTGCATTTATTACATCATTGACCCTATTTTATTTTTTTCAACTATCTTTCAAATGAATAATCTTTCAACTGAACTCTACTCACTATATTCCTATCAATGTTTATTCATTATGTAATCGATTGTTTCTAACCCACTTTTGAACGGTTGTCACAATGAATGTTGTAGAATATTCTTTCACATTAGGTATATATTTACAATATTCAGTTAGCAATTTAAACCCATTATGTAATTATGAGGATTTTTAAATATCACAGGTTGTAAGCAGTTGACGAGAACCAAACGAAATAAAATGAATTCATGTTATTCTACTAGAATCTTTGTTCTTGCTCTTTTCAAAATTGTTATGTAGTCAGAAAAATAGACCAATAATTATGATGTTAAGTCCAATGGTGTCCTTGGTCTTTAAATGTACATTTCCTATTGGTCGACGTTTACTTGACTTGTTAAATATTGTACAAATGTTGTTTCCTATTTTATGGTACGATGTGGTTTGTTTGCTTGGTATATAAATAGAGTATGTTTGAAATATAGTGATTCATAACTCCGAGGCTGTGACTTGTGTTCTTCACTCAACTGGGCTAGGACGGACAGCGAAGCAGGGCCAATCAGGCACTAGGTCGTCCGTACGTGTTTTCCGTGTCACTGTCACAGATCGCGATCGATAAATACGCTGCTTATCAAAAAACCTGCAGTCACACACACACGTTACAACAAAAATGATAAAAGGAACTATGTGCGTGAAAATGCATTGAGTTTACCGATTATAGATCAATAAAAAGATGATCAGAATACTTAAATTGAATAGTTATCAATAACATAGAATATCGTAAAAATGGATTGAAATTTCGTGAATTATGTTGAAATTTAATAATTTACTTACTTACTAACTAACGCCGTCCAGTAGCACTCTTCATCCAACCCTATCCTGAACAATCCTTTCCAGCTCTTTCCAGTTGTTATTCATCCATTTTATATCTGATTCTATTTCCCGACGTAGTGTGTTCTTCGACCTTCCTCTTTTCCACTTCCCTTCAGGATTCCAAGTTAGGGCTTGCCTCGTGATTCAGTTTGATGAGCTGCGTAATGTATATCCTATCCATTTTCAACGTCTTTTCCTAATTTCCTCTTCATTTGGAAGTTGGTGTGTTCTCTCATACAGCAGGTTGTTACTGATGATATCCAGTCAACGAACACTGATTATTTTGGGTGGATAATCGATTATAAATACTTATACCTCCTGACACGCCGATGTTGATGCTTCTTTGATACCTGTCCAGTTGTCCTCCATAGTAGTTTCTTCTTCCTTCAGGAGATCTTGTAAGGCTTGGAACCTGTTGTTGAGAGCTATCTTGAATTCGTTGAATTTTTTTAGTATCTCGAAGGAAGGCCTTATTGAATCTTTGTAGTGCTGTTGGTCCAGTTGTCCAGTTCTTCTTTAGCTTCAGTTTAAATTGGCCACAACTAGGCGGTGATCTGAAGCTATATCAGCTCTTTTTCTGGTTCTCACATCTTCCATTGTCCTTCGGAATATTTTATTGATGCAAATATAATCTATCTGGTTCCCCGTGATGTGTGTTTCATTACCCTGTGATAAATCACATTATAACAAGACCTTTTCATTTACTTTTCAAAATTATTTACAGAGTATATAGTTCATTCAGTGTTCTTGTATCATAGTTGAATCTTTGGTTCAGTCAGTCAGTAAGTCAGCTACAACGTGGGACCAGGCACATATATAAGTTGGTCCAGTTTTCCTTACCTCATTAGCACAACAAAGTGAATACCAAATTCATAAAAGTTACGGGAACCTTTTTACGTTTGTACAGTACTACAGCTCTTGGATAAAGTTGATTGAAGTACCATTGAAAATATCAGAATATTATAAGATAATATTTATGAACTGCTTGGTAGCCTTTCTACGAGGAATCTAATCAAGATCTATCAGTCTAGGGTTCGGTATAAGTTAGCTGGATTTTAAACAAATAATTTTCATTACGGACAAATAGAATTTGGGAAAAATATTGGCAATACAAAAAGGGCGAGGTGACAATCATTTCCATCAACAAATTTGTGGCTTATTACCAGTAAACAACCATGAGCGATTACTGAAATGAACCCTGAATCCTTGATCTAAACAACAAGGAACTACACCTTTAACATAAGTTATTATATGGTATAGAGAGATCATAACTTTATATCGTAGTGCTTAACTGACTTATAGCCGATAATAGAAACTCAACCAGTCATAAGCTCTTGGCTAAATATCTGGAATTTACTTCAGAGCCATTCACTCATAAGTATGTAATTACTGTAAAAGGTTTGACTATATCTATAAAAACCACCTAGTACAGGACTCACTTCTCAGTTACCAAGTAAAACCCATTCTAAGAGGTGAGTACTTAATGAAGTGTACTAGCCATGGAATCCAACTAACTCATTATTAGTCTTGGTTAATATTTGAAGTTCAATTTCCCTCTACTAGACAATAATTAATTTGATACTATAAAGTTTGTCTTTAAAAACCACTATGTCTGGATGTTTTAATGATTGGAAACATTTATAGAAAAATATGGATATCCTAAAACAAAGTAATTTATTAACTCATTCTGAAGGTTTCTCGTGAATCTTTCCATACATTACCCAGATTCCAGTGCTTTTCAGTACAATAAAATAATTAAATGATTGGCCAAGCGTTTGTTTCTTTTAGGTTTCCAAATGCCCTGGTACGGTCGAGAGTGAGGAAAGTCCGCTCTACCTCTCCAAATACTCTCACATGACCATGTGCATACAACCACAGACAGGGAAGTCTTATTCACTGCCTTCTCGCGGCATCAATGTCATTTACAAAATTGAGGGGACGAAAAGCGAATGTCCGACTCTTTAACCGGGTTGGTGGACACAGAGAGTCCACTTAGGGGAGTCGGAAAACCCTGGGCTCCAGGATCTTAAGGAAACAAATGGCGTATGAACCAATCATTGGTCACTGGCTACCATGGGAATACATCTCCTTACGATGCTGCACTGCCTTGTGGGTCAGATCTTTAGGTCGAAGTCTCCGGGCGTGTCTCCCTAAGAAAGCCACCAATTTGGGTTTTGGAACCTGGGCAGTATCTTAGGCCTTACATAAATCGAATGATTTATGGGCTCATATCTGTTTGGTGCCTTCTTGTACCAATGTTTATGTGTTTAAGTAAAATTAAGTTATTTCTTCTATGAGCTGCCTCTCAACAAAAGCCACTACTTTTTGGATGCATTATCTATTAAAACCTTCCCATCTTCAGTATATCCAAGATTTGAGATCAATACAATATTCCAAGCGCATATGTTCCTATCACATAATGAGTCTTCTGATAAACTCAATGATATAACTATAAAATCATAAAAACTGATTCCCAAACATTGGATTTGTTACATTTTCAGTATTGATGCCACTATAGTTTTCTATATCGCTCAATGAAACTTATTTATACTTATGAAATGATTTATCTCGAAATCAACAGATTTTAGAAGCTCTATCATTGTGACCTATCAGTGGGAATACCTAACTCATCTTAAGTCACAATTTCATTTCTATTACCTATAATGGATACAGATATTTGTTTCAAATAGGTGGAAGATATACATCCTATTGATGATATAACTTAGTTAATTTCCTATCGATTTAGTTTTCCCACTTAAAAGTACTTTTCTTAAAACAATGTAACTATTTATTTAATATAACTGATGACAATAATGGATGTATCGCTCACTTTTGTGGATTAGTTGAATTTAGACATTAACACCACCGAATGCCGGCCAGACCATTGGTCTAGTGGTTAAGCGCTTGCTCGCGAGACTGATAGATTCTGGATTCGAATCTCACGAGGCGGGGTCGTAGATGCGCGCTACTGAGGAGTTCCACAATAGGACGAAACGGCGGTCCAGTACTTCTAGGTTTTCCATGATGGTCTAGCTTCAATTGACTACTCATGATCTCAACTATTAGAAATTATTTATCTATTTGTTTTTCATAAATTAATAAGTTTTTATTCATATCTCTAGAGTAATAAAATTCGAAAAGGAATATATGATTAAAGCGGAGAAGGCAGCTGAACTTCAAGAGCAAATCAATGAAATGCTTGAAAAGATTGAAAATTTAAATTTATCAAATAAGTATGTAATGATCAATTTTTAATTTTAATTTTAATTAAATTAAACGTATACAGTCCTAGAGGGACCTTCGACTCTGAGACGCAGGTACCTCCAAATGACGAGTCCGAAATAGGACAGAACACATGTCCTGTATTCCACTGTTAGTCACTACCCATCTTTGTTTATAATGCTTATAAATTAAGGCAAAATCGAGGCAATATGCACAGTATGCACATATGCCAATAAGAGACTGATCGAATGCAGTCCTAAACATCAATGGGAAGATTCAAGTAAAACAGTATCAAGTGAATTTAAATACAGTGGTTTATAATTTTCTTTCAAGTTATAATATTGATAAATAGTATATGATCTAACGACTATTTTGATACTAAGCAAAGATAGATAGTGGTTAGTAGTGGAATCCAGAACGCGCGTTCCGTCCTATTTAGGACTCGTCAGATGGATGTACCTGAACCTCATAGTTGATATTCACTATGGGACTCGAACTCAGTACCGTTCGCTTCAAACGCTATCGCGTTATCTACTTAGCTACTAAGTTCTGATAGCCAGTTGCTTCTGCAATGGGGTAAAGTTTTAAATTCACTTAGTACTGTTTACTTGAATGTTTCCATTGATGTTTAGAACTGAATTCGATCAGTTTTTTCGATACTTAGTTCATTCAAAGTTGACTTGTAATGAAATATTGAATTATCCATGATCAGATCTTTGATGGGATATCAGTTTCCGATTATTGTTAAGCATACTTTTATTATTATTACTGGCTTCTATCAATATTATATATTTGGTACAATATAGAATATTCAGCATGAAGTATTTCAACAAGTTTTACTTTTCTTATTTCTTGAACAATCCTGACGACAAATATTGAATGATCGCTAGATAGATGTTAGCAGTTCAGGAATCGACATCTGATTAATGTATATTCATTTCGATGCATATTTCCAGCAACCACACTGTCTCTCATTTGGCTCTTTTGTAACTTGTACAGTGAAATGTTGTAAACTTTTCACAAATACACCTGAATAGGTTGTAAATCACCAGCATAGATGATCTATATCGAATGATTGGGGGCCTATTAAAGTTAAACGGGAATGGTGTGACGAACCAGATAACGTCAAAGTCACACCTTGCAGTCAGCACCTTATGTGGATTACCCCATCGACGTATCAAGGTACTATAGATGCTTTGAAGACTGTACAAAACATAGGACGTTATTACAGAAATATATTAGTTAAAGTAGATACAAGCGAAAGTAAGACCATCACTGCATAGGCCAATTCATGGCGTACGATCAACTGACGCACGTTGGTTGTCCTTGACCTTGACAGGAATCAACTATCGGTTAAATATTCAGTGACCCAACTGCCAGATGAGTTGGCTAAGGCTTAGTGACATTTCACTGGCCCTACAAAGTTATGCGATTAATAGCCATAATGATGTATTAAAAACAACAAGAAAACATATAACTTATTGAAATATCTAGATGGTAGGAAGGGACAGGTAACCTAGATGTTCAAGCAAACCGCTTGAGTGATAATGTAACAAAAAGCAGATATTTCATGATACCACAATATCTGGTTTAGTGATTATGGTGTATTCTGCAATTACTGGTGATTGATTAAACTATAAAACATTAAACATAGAATATAATTGCTATAAATAGGTTCATTTTAATTAATGGATAATAATTGTATCATAAATTATTCTTGATGTTAAAACAAGAACTTAAAGTGTCAGTTTGAGTTTCCCCTGAAGTCACCTATAATCAAATATTTAATGATATCACTTATAATCCCTCTTTTCTATGTATTTTCTAGCTGCTATATGCTTGATATAAGTGTATTAGCACAAATTAGAGTAGTGCTCCGTTAGTTCGATCTTCAATAGACATTTAGGTATCCTAAGATTCATATATATCACATGGGTTTTTGTTTCCTATTTTAACCAGTAAATGCATACTATATATATAGGCGGCCTGTCTGAATATCTGGGCTATCTGTTCCTGTGATCTAGATATTTCAACAGGTTACCTGTTTCAGAGGAATGTTTATTTATTATTTATCTGAACACATAGATACTGGTACAAGAAGGCACCAAATACATACGCGCCACACAAATCTCATTTGATATATGTGAGGGCTGTGATACTGCCCGGGTGCCCAAATTCAAACCGGTGGTTTTCTTAGGAAGACACACCTGAAGCCTTCAACCTAAAGGTCTAATCTACAAGGCAGTGAAGCAAAATAAGGCGATGCAGTCCCATGGTAGCCGGTGATCAACGATTGGTTCACACGCCATTTGTTTCTTTAGGATCCTGGAGCCCATATTCACCATTAGTTTGAAATCAGCGTTTTCCGACTCCTTGAGTGAACTTTCTGTGTCCACCAACCCGATCAAAGAGTCGGACATTAGCTTTTCGTCCTCTCAATTTCGTAAACGACAGTGATGCCGCGAGAAGGCAGTGAATAAGACTTCCCTGTCTGTGGTTGTATGCACATGGTCATGTGAGAGCATTCGGAGAGGGTGAGTTGACTCTCCTCACTCTCGTCCGTGCCAGGGCATTTGGGGGCAGAGAGGAATGTGGTGAATATTATGGTAATATAATAGTTGAATTCATGAGTCAATTAAAGCTAGACCATCATGGAAAACCTGGAAGCACCAAAGGGCCGTTTTGTCCTAGTATGGGACTCCCCAGCAGTGAGCATTCATGATCTCACCCCCCGCTAGATTCAAACCCAGGATCCATCGGTTCTGAGAATTCTATATTGTACCAAAAAATTGAATAAAGCCACTAATATATATAGTTGAATGTGTTCATCTTGTATACTCACCACATAACAGTGTTCAGGTAAACACCATGTGAGTGATCATTCAAATTGAATCCATGATTGAAGAGACTAGATGGATGATCCATAAATTTAATAATACTGTTACTTACTAAATGTTTGTTACAGAATATCAGCTTTGATGGATTTGATATTGAAATAATATATATGGACTACTTCTATTTAACACCATTATCCAGTGACTAGAATAGAAATCTAAGTTGTGTGACTTTCTGGTTAGATTCACTTGAGTGCTAGTATGTTACTTATTACTTGCCAGATCTTATACTAAACACATAAAACTTCGAGATGGTGGCGAAGATTTGTATCTCAGGTGGATGATTTTGATGGAGTTTTGTTCTCTGAGCTGGATGGTTTGGTAAACATAAAACTTCATTTATTAGATACAATAAAAGAGATTATTGACATTTCTATACAATCAGTCAGTTTTGTTAATACAAACTATTCATGTAGATAGTGCAATATCGACTTTTGAATTATACCTTCCTTTTATTATTGTCCCATCAAACCAGTTTTGAATAAAGAAGGAACGAATCTAGCATGAGGAAATTTCTTCTCAATTACTTTTTTCACCATGGCTCTACATTAATATCTATATCTATATGATATACAATAATGAAATAATACTCATCGAGTGGATACGTTACGTAATAATTATATAAGGACATATCGATTATAAATTGAGTAATTACAAGGAAGGGGGAAATAATAATAATCCATAATCACACTAGACCGGCGAGTCCTGGGTTCGAATCCCGCAGGGCTAGATCGTGAATGGGCACTAATGAGGAGTTTCATACTTAGACGAAACGGCTGTTCAATGCTTCCAGGTTTTCCATGGCGATCTAGCTTTAATCGACTCATGAATTCAACTATTGAATAAACAAAGTAATTCTTCGAGAATCAAACAGTTGCTTCGTTGCATAATATAAAAAAGAGAAGAAGGAACTAATGAAATATTTTGATGAATAATCAGTAGTATAGTAGTTATGTAAAAATCAAGAGACGAATGTTGAGAATAAGTAAAATACAAAAAAATGGAAGAAATACAAAGATAGTTTATCAAAGTACTGCTTTAAACTCTGCTATACCGATAGCCAAGGTAGCGAGAGCGATTGTACAAACTTATTTTGGATGCTGCAAAGGTTAGGTTTGTGAACATGAATGGAAATGGCTTCATTTATGTTCAAAAGACAAACTCGTAAACGATGTGACAAATTCGATGGAATATGGTAGATAACCTTAAAAGTTTTATTCAATTAAACTTGATGACCTTTGCGCACCAAGTGAACGAGAATAGAACTTTTAATCACTCTTACCTGTCTTTTGCTCAACCATAAGGGATGGTGTTCTGTTATACGATGACGAATTCGCTCAATTGTACATCCTATATAACTGGCTGCAAAGGAACAGTTGAATTGGTGAATACACATAGATGTTTTTGATTGGGATCATGAACCGATTGATGTTAGACTATCTTTGGAAACCTGGAAGCACTGGACGGCCCTTTCGTCCTATTGTGGGACTCCTCAGCACTGCGCATCCACAACCCCGCTCGCGGGATTCGAACCCAGGGCCTTCGGTCTCGCTCGCGAACGCTTAACCTACTGGACCACTGAGAGGGCATCCAATGGTGATAGTGTCTAACATAGATGTCATGAATTCAGTTAATCTATCTTTATTAACCGTTCTTATTATGTGTCAGTTGTAGAAGACGTCATGACATAGTCTAAGTCACTTCTTCAAAGAGTAAATTAGTGAATAAATTAAACTAATGTAACATTAATTAATAACATTTTCAAACTACGTTTTCTTTAATTTGAAGAGAGCAAGAACTAAGATTCTAACAGATTAGTATGAATACATTTCATCTCATCTTGTTCTCAACAACTGCTTACGACCTATGATATTTAAAAATCCTAATTGACACATTGAGTTTAAATTACTTACATGAGAGGCTTTGGTTAGAAGTTATATTGAATATACATTCCTTCTTTATTTACTAAATGTTAAAATGGCATTGGTGAAGTTTTGTTCTGTGAGCTGGATGGTCTGGTCGTGACCAAATCATCCACCTGAGCTACAAATCTTCTCCACCATTTTAAAATGACAGTTTTGAATAAATAGTTACTATAAAGGTTAATTCTGTATCTTCTTTCTTTTCTCCTGTAGAAGTGTAATAGATAATTTAAAACAACAAGCAGAAATAATAAACAACCAGTTAGCCAATGCACGTAAAGAAAGGTAATATCGTTCTATATTCATGATTATAAATGTTCAATTAGTCAATATGATTCAAGTGTATTATTATATATCAGTAAAGATTTTAGTTGCTCGGGATCTGATTTCAGTTATATCGTATGTTTGTTTGCTGTCGAAATAGATATATCTCCGTATATAATCATCGACTTAGATCGCGTTAGTGAATAACGGAATTAAATAAGTCAAATACAAGAATGGAATTTTGAATATGTATACTTACTTCACTCATTGATTTGAACAAACAATCAGAGAATGAAGCGAAGCGAAACGACACGAAATGGAGATGGCGGATAAACCAACCAAGCGTTAGTCAATCTTTATAGTCACATAAAAATAAGCTACTGACATTTGTTGAGTAGGTTAAGAAGGGCACACACATATGCGCTCATATAAAAATAGTCAAGGTTGATAAGTGAATAATTAACATGATCAATGTGTGACTCAAGTAGAATGAATAGACTGGCCTGTCCGAAAGCTAGAATAAGTTAATATAGGCATAACATAGTAACCGACACTACAAAATCTATTTCAAAATGATAAGAACAAATTCATAAGTATCGATTGAAGGCTATGATGTACATTCTCAGGGTCAACTTACATTGAAATGAAATATTTTTCCATCATCAACTACGGCGAGACTATAATTTATGGATAAACCAATCAGATTTAGGATAACAAGTCTTAAATTTTGGCGCGAGATTCATTCACCCATTTGGCTAAATTGAATCCTGGCAATTTAGCTGTGATGAAAATCCAAAATTTAATTCCTAATCCTAACCATCAACTATAAATCATAATCCTTATTTTTCAAACTGCTGTATAACCCTTTATTTAGCCCTAGTAAGTAGGTAAACACCCTCAAGATCACTTTAGAGTCGCTCAAAAGTCGTCCATAAATTATAGTCTCACCTCAACCACTAATATCCTTGTTGTATCAATATAAGTGATTTGTTATTGTTAAACAATATTAAATACCCTGACTAACAAAAAGACGAACAGTTTGTTTTGAACAACACCCAACACACTAATAAAGAAATTGTGATACATGAGATCGATGCATAAGTTACTGAAATCTGTGTATGAACCAGTAAACATTGAGTAAACAGTTAAAAGGCTAATTTATTTCTGATTTAGAACTGTTCAGCATACTTTATTTTTTATCAAATACAGTATTAAATGAATGATTCAGTCAGTCACCTACAACGTAGGACCAGGCACATATATGCATCGGTCCAAGTTGCCATACCTCATTAGCACAACAAGATGAACACCAAATTCATAGAAGTAGTTAATTAAATGGTGGTAATATATAAAAGAAAGATTTCATATAAGGATATAATACAGGAAGAAAGAAAGATATAAAGCGATTTTATTCTCATAGTTTAAGGGAAGATAGAGACTGTATACACCTACACCATTGTGATCAATTCTCAGCCATATCACACATAGTCTCCAGCCATTGATCACGATAGTCACGTGGACCCCAATCAAGTAGTCTGCATCTACCAACATAGCTCAGACTAGAAGTTAGTGACTTCAAGTACTGATGACAGGTTTCGGTTTGGCCGCTCCTAACTTTGTTCCAGCCGTCTCCCACACTAGTCAGTATTGCGCGTTGTGGTTGTCGGTGTTTAGGCATACGTAACACGTGACCCAACTGTCTAGGCTGATGAAGATTTACAACTACATCAATTGATTTACCATCATTCATGAATGATTAGTTTTCTAGAATATCCCAGTTGATACCAAAAATGAATTGTTACGTCATACTCGCTTTTATTTGTAAAAAACACTAGAAGTAATGCAAATAAATAAAGGGTCGTTTCATTAATGACGGTATTGATTGAAAGCAACAAATTTAATAAGGAATAATTTGACATTCTAATATTGGAAGAAATTTTTTTTAAAAAAAAGCTTAAACTTAATCTTGAATGAACTGATTCTCATCACTCGATCCAAATGAATAACACTGTAATATACTTCACTGATGATCTAACCAGATAGCAACTGATTTCCTGTTGGAGCGAGAGATTTACGTCAATTTACTTTACTTAATCCTGTTACCCTTAATGGAAGATAGACCATAGACTAACTCTGTCCCGGATCTTTCTTTCTAGTTCTATCTAATTGTTACTCATTTTTCTCATATCTATCTCCATTTCTCGTTGTATTGTGTTCTTTGGTTTTTCTTTTCTTCTTTGGCCTTGAGGAATAGGAATGAAGGCTTGCCTTATGACTCAGTTGAGTGCTTTCCTCAGTGTCTGTCTTATCTACTTTCAACGCTTCTTATTAATTTCTTCATCTACTAGAATCTGGTTTGTTCCCTTCTACAGTAGGTTATTGCTGATAATGTCTGGCCAACGGATCTGAAGTATTTTGCGTAGACAACTATTAATAACCATTCAGAATAGAAAGTTCGAATAAAGCTGTTGTCTAGTTTTATCCTGTATGTCATATGTCATCGTTAATCTAGAACTTATTTAGGGCTGATCCAAGTTATGTTTGCCTTGAGTTCAGAAAAGAAGTCTGAAACTATTAATATGAATCAAATCAGTAGTCGATAACTTTGATTTATCTATTCCCATTTCATTTATCAATCCATATTACTTAATGGTGTACTCAGTGATTAGTGTCTTCTAATCACAGATACTTATCATTAAATAGCACTAGTTCATAATGATAAAATTGTATACTGTATATTATTCGTTTTATACATTTATTTCTATTTCAATAGTTGAGATTATGAGTTAGTTGAAGCTAGACCAACATGAAAAACCAAAGGAGTCGCACAATCGGACGGAACGACCGTCCAGTGCTTCCAGGTTTTCCGTAGTGGTTCAACTTCAACTAACTCATGATTTCAACCATTGAAATTACTATAATATCCACGTTAAACCCTTCTGATATTTATTTCTATGTAAACAATAATAATAATAATAATGGTAATTCTATTCATTAAAGAGTTCAATTACAACGTAAACAACGTAAAATTCATAAACAAATTGGTAGTTTTAATGATGAACAAAATTTATTTGTACGTAAATATCAACGTCGTATTAATGAAACAAAAAATAAAATAAATTTACTTTTAAAACAAGTAAGTAGATATACTACTTATTTACTGATATATAATATTCTATGTATTTATTTTACTTATAATATGTTAGATATGTAAGTGATCATGGCGTGTAGTTATCAAACGAGATATGATCATACAGTTGTTTAGTGCCATTTTATTAAATGTCACTAGGCTTGGAGTCCTTCTGGGGCTACTGCCGGTCCCAAGCCTGGATATAGAAGGAGGGTTGAGCATGGAGTTAGCGAACACATCCTGTCGAAAACTAACCCTCTAAAAAACGCTAACCAGATAAAATAATCCAAAAACCATTTAAACTCTGCCTTGGGAGTTAGAAGGTCTTTATTTAGAAGAGTTATTACGCCTCATGTTGAAAGCCAAGTTCCTTCGGAATTCACGAGCCTGATACCCTTTTTGACAAACAGAGCAACCATAAATCTGAGTACATGGAATGCTTGTACAATGTGGGAGACCGGGAGAGTCATCCAAATCGCTGATGAAATGAAAAGATACAATAATTGTCTCGCTATAGTGGAAAATGTATTGATTGTGGTTGAAATTTACTATTGGATACAGAGCCAATGGTTTTAATAGTTAAGTGTTTGATGAAGAACTTTGAAAATCTTGCATCCGATCCAACTATACTGGTAGATCCAGACTATTTGATTGAGGTCCGCGTGACTACCGTAACAAGTGGCTGGAGACTGTGGTTGACATGGCTCAGAATCGATCACAATGTCGTAGCTTTATACAGTCTCTGTCTTCCCTTAAACTATGAGATTAAAATCGCTTTATATCTTTCTTTCTACCAACTAATTCTTTCTTCCTGTACTATATCCTTATCTGCAATCTTTCTTTTATATATTACCACCTCTGAATTAACTACTTTTATGAATCCGGTGTCCATCTTGTTGTGTTAATGAGGTATGGCAACTTGGACCGATGCATATATATGCCTAGTCCTTTGTTATAGCTGACTGACTGACTCGATCTACCTAAGATACACTTTTGACGAGCACAACTTATAAAATTAATCAGTCTTCATGAAATTCCTTTGAATTCGGTAATGATTTCCCAAGACAAGGTTGGATGGAGAGTACTGGTTGTTAGCCTATGCTTCTTGACGAGAGGTAATAGACGTAAGTAAGTATCATTCATCTATACAAACTGTATAATCTAGAGCAGATGTATATCTGTTCAAATGATCATAATTCAAATTACGGCGATATAATGAATGTGATCAATTAAACACGAAAATGGTTAAAAAAATCTCAATTGTGAAATTCTTTGGTTGATAAATGTGAAACAGAACTCCCATCACTTAAAACAAGTTATGCACCCGATCCTTTTATAATAAGAACAACATTGGGATATGTTACCTATGTTTATTTGAAAGTAAATAACCTTCAGTTTTTCAACATATATCCATTCCAACTAACCTACAATACTAAGTGTTTTATTGAATATATATACAATATACAATTCTAATTGATTTATTAAACAAACAGTTATGTCCCGATAAGAATAAGGAATTGTAACTTTTACGATCCAGTTATGGACTCATACTATGCTTACACTTTTATCGTATAATTGTTAGATAACTAAACTGTTCATATTCGTGTTCCTCTTGGTATATACATAAGATTTAACCTTTCGCAACACTTACCACACCTTCATTGTCTAGTTCATATTGAATCTGGGTTATTTACTCACTTTGTTCATGGTTGTTCAATCAATAAAACATAGATATTGATAATGTGGAAAATTAAAATATAAACTATTTTGTTGAAATCAGATCAGTGAGAAATGTGTTACATGGAAACATCGTCTTGAATAGAATGATCACAAAGCTTTCAAATTAAACTATCCAGCTTATGAAAAAACACAGCACCAACGAAAAGCATCCACTGTAATTAAATCTCTTCTGAATCATTTCAATATAGTGTTTAATGGTGTTGGAAGAAAGCTAGGTGTGGTAAGATCAAAATATGGCACAAATCCATGAAGTCATTGATAATTGGTTGGGATCGGCGAGACGATAGCAACCGATGGTTAGAGTTCGGAATGACATGGCTAGAAATCGCTTGCAATGTTGCAAATGCGCCATTATCTCTATTTTGCTCTTTCCAGATTTACTTCACTGAATTATACTCATTGTGTAACGTCTTCAAACCGTAATCTTTCCGATTACTACATATACTTTTACCACGTCTACCACGATGGGATTTCAATCGACAGCTGCATCTCTGTACTAATGTGGTATGACAACTTGAACTGATGTACGTTTGTACGAAGTTCTACGTTATTGCTGACTGACCGATAGTGTCTATATATCACTCACTATCAAATGTTTACAGTAAACTATGTAAAATTAACAGAAAACTATCAAATTACATACAAATACGCAACAATAAATACATAACAATTCTGTACTTATTATCAACTTGTATATTAAGTACGGAGTCATTTGATCAACTTAGATCTATCCAATTTGTATGAAGGTGATGATTGTATTAAGATGAAACCTCAAACTTACTAATAGAAAGTTGAGTACTTCAATCACTAAATTATTATGTATATCAATAGTATAGTATAGTACAGTAACGTATAGTATATAAGCATAATGAATTGTAACTTTTGGGATCCATTTATGGACCAATACTATGCGTATATTTCCATCGTATAATTATTTAATTACTAAACTGTTCATATTCATTTCCCTCTTATTATTCTTGAATTATGCCCTGTCTATCAATCACCATCTCCCTTGTCCACAGCCACATTTGTCTGAAACTTGTACAGGTGTTGTTTCCTATTTTATGATACGATTTGGTCTGTCTGTTTGGTATATAAACCCAGTATGTTTGAAATATAATGATTCATATCGCAGAGGCTGAGATTGATGTTCTGGACATAACAGGCTACGCTAGGCGAGAAGCAGGACCGATACGTACTCTAGACTGCTCATTGATCCGATCGATAATATTGAATAATCTACATTAAACTGTTATTGTTCTTTTACTCAATCAATAATAAAGTCAAGTTAATTGTTGATACCTCCTTTATTTAAATGAACTTTTATTTGTATCAAAACTATTGACCTTGATTAGTCTAATCAATTAAATGATTGGAGTATTTCATTATGAATAGTTATATATTTAGTTTTCTGTTTTAATCTTAGCTCAGTTAGTAACAAAAAAGTAACTTCAAACACATTGATTTATATCACATCCCATTAAAACTATTCACATAATGAATAATAAAGAAGAATAATGAAATTTATTCAATAGAATTCATTGATGTTCAATGGTTCAAATGATTTATTGATCTGATCTATTTAATTAGTAACAAATATTTCAAATATTTAAAATTAAAAAAAATTTGGCAAGCAAATTACAGTAATAATAATAATAATAGTGAATGTTGTATCTCAGTCAGTCAGTCAGTCACCTACAACGTAGGATCAGGCACATTCGTCCAAATTGCCGTACCTCATTAGCAAAACAAGATGAATATCGAATTCAGTGGTAGTAATCTATAATAGAAAAATTGCAATAAGGGCATGGTACAGGAAGAAAGAATTAGTTGGTAGAAAGAAAGATATGAAGTGATTTTAATCTCATAGTTTAAGGGAAGAGAGAGAGTGTATACACCTAAACTATTGTGATCGATTCTGAGCCATGTCAACCACAGTCTCCAGCCACTTGTTACGGTAGTCACACGGAGGCAAATCAAGTAGTCTGCATCTACCAACATTGATCGAATGTTGTATTCATTGAAATATGATTGGAAATATTAGACTTATTAAAAAAAGATGAATAATGATTAGTAGTGTAATTCAAGACTTGTCAGCTAGATGTCCTGGCATCCAAGAGTTGATGTTCATTCTGAGACTCGAACTAAGTATCCAGTATTAACGATAAGATTCAAATAAACAATATCAAATGAATTTAAAACTTCACCCCATTATACAAGCAAGTGGCTATCAGAATTTAGTAGCTAAGTGGATAACGTGATGGTGTTTAAAGCAAATGGTGCTGTGTTCGAGTCTCAGAGTGAACATCAAATCTGAGATACGGATAAATCTAACTGACAAGTCCGAAATAAAATGAAATACTCGTTCTGAATTCCACTACTAATCACTATCCATTTTTGCTTAGAATGTTTGTGAATTAAGGCAATATCGAGATAAGACCCACATTATGCATATTTGCCAATAAGTGGCTGATCAATTGTAGTCTTAAACATCAATGAGTAGCATTTATTTATTTATTCAAACACATAAACATTAGTAAAAGGAGGCATCAAATAGATATGCGCTACATAAATCACTCGACCTATGTGAGGGATGGGATACTGCTCGAGTGCCCAAACCCAAATCAGTCATTTTCTTAGGAGGTCACACCCAGAACATTCGATCAAAAGATCTGATTTATAAGGTAGTAAAGAAACATAAGCAGATGCAGACCCATGGTAGCCGGTCTCCAACTATCGGTTCATACGTCATTTGTTCCCTCAAGATCCTGGAGCCCATGTGTACTATTGGTTTGGAATCAGGGTTTTGCAACTCCTCCGTATCCACCTACCCGGTTAAAGCGCCGGATAGTCGCTTTGCGTCTCCTCAATTTCGTAAACAACGGTTTTGTCGCGAGAAGGCAGTGAATAGGACTTCCCTATCAGTGGTTGTATGCATGTGGCAATGTGAGAGCATTTCGTGAGGGATAGCTGACTTTTCACCACTCTCAGCCGTACCAGGGCATTTGGGGACACATAAGTAGCATCCACCACATTATTTCTATCTTCCACTTGTGAAATATTTGAAGTAACTAACTAACTAATTAGTCATATTTAATCAATATTTCCAGAAAACTCAATTAGAAAAAGAAATTGAAATGAACAAACAGAAACGCGAAGAAATTCAAACAACAATGAAAATTGAAAAAGAACATCATGATCATGAAAGAATACATACTACAGAGAAAATTGTTTGTAAGTTAGTTGTTTGAAAAACGAAAACAATGAAATAAACAAAAGAAACACTATTATTTTTTTGTTGTTGTTTGGTACAATCTGTAATGAATGATTCATTCAATTGTGATGAAGGACAACGGGTGAACTTGAGGAAGCTGTAGGAGGCTCAGAAGGAGCCGAAGATATTCCATCCAATCATCTTTTGGAAGAAAATCCTAGCATTCCTACGTGTAGCTTCCTGATTGGTCAATGCTAATAACCTCCTGTATGCGGATTGAAGGACTGTAATGATGATTTCGTTCTTACTAAAAACTATAAGTACGTGACAATTTTGTACTATAATGGACACAGTCGGGGAACAATATTCCTCTCATTAGTATTCTATCTTCTGGCGTTTTAGTGCTCACGTTATACGCGGTCTATCAAGAACAACCTTCTAGATATAACATCAGTAATATACGTTTCATTCCAATTCAAATTAACCATTAAATAAACTAATCAGTGGTCTAGTGATTAAGCGCTCGCGCGCAAGACTGATAGATCCTGGGTTCAAATCTTGCGAGGCGATATTGTGGATGAGCACTGCCGAGGGTTCACAAAATAAGACGAAACAGCCATCCAGATTTTCCATGGTGGTCTAGCTTCAATTGACTCATGTTCTCAACTATTGTAATCTGCAAATGTTATTTTGCGTTCAGTTGAACTAGACTGAAATACTTCTAATCATTGAACATTAGTTGAAGTTAGACATTAACAGCGTTGGATGCCGGCCGGCTCAGTGATCTTGAGGTTAAGGGTTCGTATGCTAGACCGATAGGTCCTGGGTTTGAATCTCGCGAGGCAGGATCGTGAATGAGCATTGCTTGGGAGTCCCAGGATAGAACGAAACGATCATCCAATGCTTCCAGGTTTTCTATGCTGATCTAACTTCAATTGTTTTACGAATCCTACTATTAAATTTATAAAAAAAAATCCATGTTTCTGTTCAGTTGGCGGATTATATTTATTAACTGATCGACTGACTTATTTACTTACACCTGTTACTACCAATGTAGCATAGGCCGCCGACCAACATTCTCCAACCCACTCTGTATTGAGCCTACCTTTCTAGTTCTATCCAATTGTTGTTCATTCTTATCATGTATGTCTCTACATCTCGGCGTAATGTGTTCTTAGGTTTTCCTCTTCTGCTTTGACCCTGAGGATTCCATGTGACGGTTCGCCTTGCGTCGCAGTTGGGTGCTTTCCTAAATGTGTGATCGACTGAAGAACAATCTAATCATTGTTAAAAGAATATTGATAAACTTAGACTGTTGAGATGAATTTGAGAAATCGATAAAAGATATTCTAGGAAATATTGGTCTGTTTTTTTAGCCAATCAAATAAGTTGATAATCATAAATAATTGATAATTAAAAACAAATTCAATTAGGCGGTTAACTGAATAAATAATTCAAGAATTTTGTTTTAATGAATTCTTTTGTTTTAAAATATAAATATGTTCTATGTAGGAATGTATCTTTTTAGTTTAAAATCATTCTATTTTGTTAGTTATTGTAAGAAACATAGATGTAAGTTAGAAACTACTTTGAAATTGTGGCAAGTCAGATTCAGATTTGTGTAGTAAGGACAAAAAGCCTACGGGTTATGTTATTCCTTTTCTGGTATGCTTCTGTGAGTGTCCAGGCTTCTCTTGAAAGTCAATTGAAGGGGCGGACACCACTGCTTCGGGCATCAGATTCCAAGTATTGATGACTCGGCGTGAAAAACCTGTATGCTACGTGTATTTTGTTATTTCTTGGCTTTTCTACTCGCCTTCTATATTCTCTGAGATGTCCTGATCTAGTAGGAAGAATTATATTTAAGCAAAATAAACTGATTATATATATATATATTTCTTACTCTAAGAATATCTCTTTCTGCTATGATTGTATTAAGATTCTTCAATTGTTATTTTTGTAACAATAATCACAGATTATTACGTTACTAAGCAATCCAACAAATAGAAATTATAATCAGAGAAGGGGATTTTGTGGTTATTATAGTAATTTAACAGTTGAATTCATGATTCGATTGAAGCTAAACTACCAAGGAAAACCTGGAAGCACTGGACGGTCATTTCTTCCTAGTATGGGACTCCTCAGCAGTGCGCATCCACGATCCCCATCTATTCTGATAAGAATCATGTGCTCACTGGTGACTAGCTTCAGGATTTTACGAAGTCTTAACCAGTGGACAGTAACTCATTGAAGACAATTGTGGACGGTGGCGCAATTTCGTGGATTAGTTGAAGTTAGATATTAACAACGTTAGATGCTGGCTCGCTCACGAGACTGATAGGTCCTGGGTTCGAATCTCGGGAGGCGGGGTCGTGGATGTGTACTAATGAGAATTCCCATACTAGGACGAAACGGCCGTCCAGTGCTTCCAGGTTTTTCATGATGGTCTCACTTCAAATGACTCACGAATTCAGTTATTAAATAAAAATTATTCCGTTATGATGTACCCATTTAAATAGGCCGAAGTTGAGTCAATATTCGGTAGTTTACCTTTTTGTGCTTCATAAAAACTTTCCATATCAAATCTGATTGACTCACTTCTATAATAGTAGCAAGATTACAATTGGCTAACAAAATACCCTCAATAAAATTGATTTTGACCCACAAAATACAACATAACTACGAAGATAGTACTTGAAGGAAAAAGAAATTATTTATAGATTATTAAGTTTGCCTTGATTCATTATCACGTAAGTTTTTGACTAAATTCAGGCAATTGGTAGATAGTTTTTTTGGGGGGATCAAAAATGTTACTAAATTATGAGTGTTAGAGTGAAGAAAAAGGTGTGACATTCAATTGTCTCAAACTAATCAGGATCATATAGATCGTATTTCTGTATAAAGTTATTCAACTTATTAAAATTTTTAGAAGTTTAATCGATAGTACTCAAATGCTTATGAGGATTGCTTGTTATTAACACATTAAATTGGCTTAGTAACAACCGTTTGTGACTGTGAAGCTATAGTAAACTTCCTTGAATATCTCAGAAGTTATTAGTCGGTACTAATTAACCACTGAATACCAACTGCCTTAGTACGGCCGAAAGTAGGGAGAGTGAGCTCTCCCGCTTGAAATGCTCTCACATTGCCACATGCATACAACCACTGAAAGGAAAGTCCTACTCATTGCCTCCTCGCAACATTACTGTTGTTTACGGAATTGAAAGGACAAAAATCAAATGTCCGGCGCTTTAACCAGGTAGGTGGATATGGAGGAATTACGAAACCCCGATTCCAAACCAATGATGTACATGGGCTCCAGGATCTTGAGGGAACAAATGGCGTATGAACTATTAGTTAGAGACCGGTTACCATGGGTCTGCATCTCCTTATGTTTCTTTACTACCTTATGGATCTGATCTTTAGATCGAATACTCAGGGTATGACCTCCTAAGAAAACGACCAGTCTCGGTTTGAGCACCCGAGCAGTATCCCATCCGTTACACAGGTCGATTGATTTATATAAATGATGATTTATATAAATTCAATATCATAACTCATAAGCAATAAGCTAGCATGATTCATGGTGAAATATTTCTTAATGTAAATCAATAGTGATGAAATGTATTGGACAGCATTGAACAGCCGTTATGTTCTAGTATGGAACTTCTCAACCGTGAGTATTTACGATCCCTCACGCTGGCCTCGAACCTAAGACCTTCAGTTTTCGATAATCTTTATTTTCTATCTCTTACTCTCAAATATATCATTGCTATTTAAATATTATTCTCTCTCTGTTGATGTTTATATAGCACTAAATAAATTGTTGGACGAATTCGTTGAAAAGTGTCAACAGATGAATAAAAATGTCCAAGATGAACTACCAATATTGGAGGGATTAAATAATAAAGTAGAAAAAATTGAAAAGATTGAAACAGAAACTAAGTCATTACAGGTTGGTAAGTTTAGGTAAAAAAAAAGTACACACTTTCAATGCTTTAACGAGATTGATATTGTTTTATATAGGGCTTAATTTAAAAAAAAAACTTCGATACCATCTAGAGTACTGTTAAACGCTTTGACTATTTCATGGAAGATAATGAAGTAGTGTTGGAGAGTACAAATGAATAGGTAGCAAATATTAATAATCAGTGATTTGTGCTTAAAATGAAAATGTTTCAAACCTCAGCTCACCTACTTAGAATTTGGTGACAGGATACTTTTGGCTAAATTTCACAATTAATATGTCACAATTCAAGAACATATGGAACTCATAACAACTATCAGGATTTGCAATACAAATATTAGGAGAGTTCTACAATATGGAGCTGAAGCTTAGAGAACTACCACAAACATAATCAAAATGTGCAGGTATTTATAAATAGTTATCTACTCAGGATACTCAATATCCGTTGACTAGTTATCATCAACAACAATCTAATGTAACAAAGAACAAACCAACTTCCAGATAAAGAGGGAGTTAAGAAAATAAACTGAAGGAGGGTAGGGCATACATTGCAGAGATTATCAAACTACATCATGAAGCAAAGCCTTAGTTGGGAACCTAAAAGTAAAAGAAAAAGAGAAAGATCTAAAAAGGCATTGTGCCAAAAATTGGAGGTAGGTATCAAAGGAATGAATGATACTTGAAAACAATTGGAAAGGACAGCTAAGGACAGAGTTGGTTAAAGTATCCTGATCAAGCGTCTATGCTTCATAAGTAAATTAGCAGGATACAAATTCTGTCATAGATAAGCTGGAAACACAATAATGTTAAGATGCATGGGGTTAGGATTACATCGCTATACTTTTAACCTTGGATACCATACCGATACCAATACTCACAGCTAAATGGCTACACAGACATCATCGTTCTTTCCAATAACCCACTTGAGAGGTTGAGTATATATACAGATTCATGCAGTTGATTAAACGACTATTACATATTTTTGTTTTTCTTTTCTTTACAACTGTATCTGACAATTCTTTTTGCCCTGAATAATCATTTACATTTATTACTTACTTACGTCTATTAATCCCAATGAAGAATAGGGCTGCCGACCAGCATTCTCCAACCCACTCTTTCCTAGGCCTTACTTTTTAGTTCTATCCAATTGTTATGAATTCTTCTCATGTGTGTCTCTACTTTTCGGTGTATCGTGTTCTTAGGTCTTCCTCTTCTCTTTTGAACCTAAGGATTCCATGTGAGGGATTTCCTTGTGATGCAGTTGTGTGTTTTCCTCAATGTGTATCCTATCCACTTCTATCGCCTCTTCCTGATTTCTTCCTCTGCTGAGATCTGGTTTGTTCACCATGAGGAGTCAGAACTCTTCTAAATGAAGATCTTCTAACTCACAGGGCAGAGTTTAAATGGTTTGAATTATTTTTTTTATGGTTAGCGTATTTTAGCGAGTTGATTTTCTACAGGACTAGGTCGCTAATCTCATGCCCAACCCTCCTCTTTTATCTAAGCTTGGGACCGGCAGTAGCTTAAAAGGGGCTCCAGGCCGAGTTATTTACATGTTTATAGTGAAAATTAACTTCTAATTGTATCCAACTTTGTTTTATTCATTGGATAAAAAACGGAAATGGTAACTAACGTTTTTTTTTTTTTGGTTTTAATGATCAGATTATGCAAATTTTATACTACAATAATAAATCTTTAGATAAATAAGTAGAATAGATGCAAATTTTCACAAGTTTTGTTATGATTACCAATGTTAATTAGGTAGGTATACGATTACATTTGTGATAGAAAAGATGATAAGTTATGTAATAGCATGGTAACTGATTTTATACATCATTTGTGGAATTCTGTTTTAATGTTTAATTCATCAATAACATGAATATATGATTATGTAATATGGATAAGATTATGGGAAGACAGTTAATAAATTACAATGTCATCATTTGTATCATTGAATGCAGATAAGTTTGCTAATTTATTCTGATATATGGCAAGCAATTACTTATTAGGACGAAACGGTCGTCTAGTGGTTTCCGGTTTCTCATGGTGGTCTAGCTTTAATTGACTCATAAATTTGACTATTAAATTACTAAGATATTCACAAAACCTATTTCTAATTATGATCATCATATCCTCACTAGTGACGGTCTCCAAGAGGTATTTCCTGAAGTTCTAGTGAGAAGCCATGACCAGTGAAATTCAACCCGGTCTATTGTTAGATAGTAACTCACTGAACGGTGGCGCAACTTCGTGGATTAGTTGAAATTAGACATTAACACCGTTGGATGCCGGTTTAATGGTCTAGAGTTTAAGAATTCATGCGCGAGACTGATAGGTCCTGGGTTTAAATCTTGCTTGTGGTTTGTGCATACGTACTGTTGAGTAGTCCTATGCTAGAACGAAAAGGTCGTTTAGTGCTTCCAGATTATCCACGGTGATCTAGCTTCAATTGACTCACAAATTTAGCTATTAAATTACTATAATATTCACAAAACCCATTTCTAATTACTTAATCATTTGGATTGCGAAGGACAATCATCTCTACAATCATCTGTAACTTCTAATCTTATTTTAGGGTGTATTTATATGAATTAGTTAATCGGTCATATCTGATTGTTATATAGATGCTTAATTATTTGATATGTGTGCACACAGTAATTTATTGATTAATTGATGCTACATACTACTGAATTCAGTATAAACAAACCTAACTGTTAACCTGAATGTAAATAAATCACATGAAAAGTGATGTACTTATGAAAGTATATTTCTCTTGATTTGTTTACTGGGTCAAATAAATCTTTCCCATCAGTAGTTATTGTTTTCATTAGGCATCACTGGATTTAGAGTCTCAGTAACAAACACAAGGCAGTTAAGGACTACGTAGAAATTATAGTGTTATATATATATACTATATTAACAAAGTGTCGAAATCCGTGTTAGAAAAACCTCTTAGAATGCTAGAGAACTTCTCAGTCAGCTATAATGTAGGACCAGGCACATACATGCATCAATTCAAGTTGTCATACCTCATTAGCACAACAAGATAAACACCGAATTCATAGAAGCAGTTAATTCAATGGTGGTAATATATAAAGGGAAGATTTTATGTAAGGATATGATAGAGAAACAAAGAATTGGTTGATAGAAAGAAAATATAAATCAATTTTAATCTCACAGTTTAAGGGAAGATAGAGACTGTATACACCTACACCATTGTGATCGATTATCTGTGATTTCACACACAGTCTCCAACCATTGGTTAAGATACTCACGCGGACCCCAACCAAGTAGTCTGCATCTACCAACATAGCTCAGGCTAGAAGTTAGTGACTTCAAGCACTGATTCCACATTTTCGTTTGGCCGCCTGTAACTTTCTTCCAACCATTCCCAATACTAGTCAATATTGTGCGTCGTGGTAATCGGTGTTTAGACATACGTAACATGTTGCTCAACCATCTCGGTCGATGAAAATTCACAACCTCATCAATTGATTTACCATCATTCCCTAATTCCCTGCGTCTCCAATATCCTTCTAATAAAACAACAATAAAAGCTTCATGATAAAACGGTTCCACATCAGTGATACTAACGACAATCAATCCATGTATTTAAAATATAACTTTTTATTGTCAATATGAGATTTCCAACACTAGTTTTAACAACTTTTCAACCATATCAATAACATCTTCCGAAATTCTAGTCGGATCTACTTTAAAAGTTTATTACTTACTTGCTTACGACTTTTACTCTTCGTGGAGGAGCATACACCGACCACGAACACTCTTCATTCGATTTCGTCCTGGACAATCATTGCCAACTCTTTCCAGTTGTTCTTCATCCTTTCATATTTGATTCCGTTTCCCGACGTAATGTATTCTTTGGCCTTCCTCTTTTCCACTTCCCTTCAGGATTCGAAGTTACGGCTTGCCTCGTGATGCAGTTTGATGATTTGCGTAATGTATGTCCTATCCAGTTCCATCCTCTTTTCCTAATTTCCTCTTCAGCTGGAGGTTGGTTTGTTCTCTCTCATAGAAGGTTGCTACTGATGGTATCCGTCCAATGGATGCTGAGTATCTTGCGTAGACAACTATTTATAAATACTTGCACTGACAAGTGGACTGAGCATTGTTGGTAGGTGTAGACTACCTGGTTTGGATCCGCGAGACGATAGCGACCGATGGTTAGAGACCTTGAATGACATGGTTCGAAATCGTTTGCAAAAGCGCAGGTGCATTCACTCTTTATGTTCTTTCAAGTTCTAATCTGATGAATTTTTCATGTCCTTTATTTTCCTCTTTCCAAATTTATTTCACTCGATTATACTCCTTGAATAACATCTTCAAACCGTAATCTTTCCGATTTCTGCTTATACTTTTACTATCTCTACCGCTATGAGATTTGAATCGAAACTTGTATCTCAGTGCTAATGTGGTATGGAAACTCGAACTGATGTACGTATTTACGAAGTTCTACGTTGTTACTGACTGACTGACCTTGTTCATCAATGATGCTTCCCAGGAACGTGAAAGATTCCACATCTTCCAGAGTTTCGCCATCAAGTATGATTGGCTTGGTGATCTTTGTGTTGTATTTGGGGATCTTATCTTTTTCCCGTCGTGTATGTTGGTTCCTACTGATGCAGAGGCTGAATATTATTTCAAGAAAGCTTCATAAGTGTCATTTTTTAACCTTCATGTTGAAATGTTCATCTCCTTCTACAAAAAGCAAAAGCATTAATTTTTCTGATGTCTTTGGATATAAAGTGTTTTTTTTTGTATAAATTATACATCTTTACAAAATGTAATTATTATTGATCATATCAAAGATTCACTTATAAAAAACTCCTATTACTTGAAGACTATTTCAATCATAAACTACGATCTATTGAAGAAGTATTCGAAGTTATCATAATAGTTTTAGGAATCCTTGTTAAGTCCATACTCATGATTCTATACAAGAAAGAAATATTTGAATAAGATAAATGTTTACATTAACAAGGAATATTGTAAATAATAATGATGATGATTATGTCAGTCAGTAAACAACAACGTAGAACTTCGTACGTGCATACATGATGATAATGATGATGATGATACAGATAAATAATTATGTTATCATTGAACATGATTTGATTATTTTGATCCATTAGAAATGAATCAGAATATTCGTTCATTGGAAAATGAAATAAATCGATTGAATAATGAGAATAAAAAACTTGATTTTGATCTAGTAAGTCTTTTTTTTTAAAGGATAAATTACTTTTTATTATCTGTTTATTGATTAGTTGATTATTGATTGATCGGATGATTGATTTCAAGAAGAATTGTTGAAGTTCTAATATGATTCTGAGAAGAGTAAATATCTGTTATGTCAGGAATAGGTTAGATATTATTAATGAAATGGATGATGTTGAAGATTCTGATTATTAGATACTATCTTGGTAGGAGAAAAATAATGCGCTTTCAACATTCCTTAAATACAGTAGGTGAGTAGTACTGTGGAGTCCTAAATAGGAATAAAATATTTCATTGACTTTCAAATGTACCCCAATTGATGTCGATCTATGATAAAAAGAAACAAAACAATGACCTATATATTAGATTCATCTGTACAAGTAATAAGTGAAATATCTTAGATAAAATCAAAACGAACATGTATGTAAAATAATATGAATTAATTAGATTTCGTGGTTTCTCATCAGCTGTTACCAACCGAATATGTATGAATTGCATGTAATATCAAATACACAGTTCACTTTTGCTTCCCCTCCCCTCTTAGTTACAAATTCAACAGGACTTTCAATCTATGATCTCATACTATGTTGAATTTTATACATTACAATTTGTGGAATTAATTGTTATGAGGAAAAAAATCGATAGGAAAATATCACAGTTACATTCACTCTTTTACTTTACCCTAATTCTATTTTCTGTACTATTCTAAGGTATTAGTTTTTCAATCTTAGTTATTTCGTATATATCATCATTAAGAATTGAATTAATGGTTTCCAACATACTCAATATTGCTCAGTTTTAGTACATGAGTGAGTGAAAACATGGAAGTACTGGACGGACGTCTCGTCCTATTGTGAGACTCCTCAGCAATGTGCATTCACGATCCCGCTCGCGGGATTCGAACCCAGAGCTTCTGGTCTAGCGCGCGAACGTTTGAACTCTAGAGGTTAATAATCTACACAACCCCATACTGATACGTTACGTAATAATTATATAATGACATGTCAATTATAAACTAAAATTGAGTGATTGGAAGAAAGAGGATTATAATAATCAATAATCACGCTAGACCGACAAGTCCTGGGTTGGAATCCCGCGAGCGAGATTATATCATGTTGAAGATACATTAGTATTGCATAGCAAGCGTATGAATAAATGCAATCGACTGAATATTGTAAAATTTACCTTATGTAAGAGAAAATCCAAACGGCCAGAAATAAGTGACTACATAATAAGTAAACAGTGATAAGAATAAAATGAGTAAAGCTTAGTTAATAAAAAAAAAATTAGTAATCTAGGAGACAGTCTAAAGAGCAAGACATAGTGATGTAGTAAATGCTAGAGACTTTTAAAAACAAGGAAAAAGTTGTAAGATGCACAAAAGGAATATTTGTCACCAAGGCAAGGAGGAATCGATAACCATCTTCGTTTGAATATATAAATCAGGTTTCTGACACTTGATAGTAACGGCTTCAGCAAACTTCAAAAGACTGGAGTTTGGTTGTTCATTAACCACTTAGATAAATTGCAAGGTATCAATCTGATGTCCTGTATTCAAGAGATCTTTAGTAATTGCACTGTTTAAAGTCATTTCCTCTCTTGTTCTAAGGACTTTTGAAGCATGCTCAAAAAAACCTATGATATGCCCTCGTTTCTGTTCGGTTAATATAGCTGTTTCGGCAGGTACACGTAAATTTATAAACACAGTTGGCGATAACATAATTTAATCAATTCTGATTCGCCGAAGAGATGACTTGAATTATGTTATGAAATGTCAAAAATTCCATTCTGTTCCTCACTGAGATACTACAAATATTACTTACTTACTTAAGCCTATTACTCCCAATGGATCATAGGCCGCCAACCGGCAATACTAGAAATATATTTCTTGTTATTTTTTGTCAACTTCATTTGATATTATTCCTATTTGTATTGCCTTGAATTATATTTTCTGGTTAGCGTGTTTTTAACAAGTTAGTTTTCTACAGGATGGGGTCGCTAATCCTATGCTCAATCCTTCTCCTCTATCCGGGCTTGAGACCGGCAGTAGCCCCAAAGGGTCTCCAGGCGCAATCGGCCAATAGAGATGATTACTTCACTGTGAACTGTCTTTTCATTTTATCACTTTATAGGTATTTGTTAAGTCTTGTATTGTTTGTAACTGACTGATTGATTTAAAAATATAGTTAAACTGTTTATAATATATAATCATCTATTATTCTATTCCACAAATAATGATTTCTACTATCTAAATACTGTATTCATATTTTAATGGTTGAAATCATGAGTCAATTGAAGTTAGACCACCATGGAAAACCTGAAAGTATTGAGCCTCTGTTTCGTCCTATTGTGGAACTCCTCAGAAGTGCCCATCTACAATTCCGCCTCCTGAGATTCGAACCTAGGATCTATCAGTCTCGTGAGCCAACACTTAACCTCTATACCAATGAGCTAACATCCAGTGGTGTTAATATCTAACTTTAAATGATCCATGAAATAGAGTGACACATCAACCATTGGTCATCAGTAAGTTACTATTTCACAATCGAATCAATTGAACTCCACTGATCACTGTTTCTTACTAGAACTCCAGAAAATACTGGTTGATCCCAGTTACTATTAAGCATATGTTAATGAATATCAGAAGGGGTTTTGTAGATCTTATAGTAATTCTAATGTATTATATAATATTGAATACTTTTTTTTGTCTTAGAAATTATCGAAAAAGCAAACGAATGTATTTCAAATGGATTATATGAATAAATTTATCAATGAAATTGATTTATTGAAGAATAATGAAAAAAATATTTATACTTATGGTTGTCGTTTAAATACAGTAGGAATTGAAAATGATCGAATCAATACAGTAAGTTACTAGGAGGGATATTGATTTTTTTAATTTTCAATAATTTTCCTTAAAAATCGATTAAATTTGGGATGAATCGGGTAATTTGAGTTTTTGATATTATGTTATTATATACTATACTGTGCTGTACTATATTATACTATGGATATACAATAATAGTTTAGTGATTGAAGTATTCAAATTTTTTATGATAACTTGTGGTCTGAGTACCCTGTTAATGTACAACGTAATCATACCGTCAATTAGAGAACAGTGAATTATCGATCGGACCAAGGACGCATAAAAATCGTACGAGCCGTTTAGAGTATTTATCGGTCCTGCTTTCCGACTAGCTCAGCCTGTTATGTCCAGAATATCAGTCTCAGCCTCTCCGATATGAATCATGTATCTCAAACATACAGACCACATCGTACCAATAAAATAGAAAATAACATTTGTACAAGATCTAGCAAAAAAGTAGCTATGAATAAGGGAGATGTTGGTTGATAGACAGGGCATAATTCAAGAATAATAAGAGGGAAATGAATATGAACAGTTTAGTTATTTAATAGAAATATACGTATAGCATTGGTCCATAAATGGATCCCAAAAGTTACAATTCATTATGCTTATATACTATACGATACTATACTATACTGTACTATTGATATACATAAGAGTTTATTGATTGAAGTGTTCAACTTTCTATTACTAAGTTTCAGGTTTCGTCTTAATACAATCATCACCTTCATACAAATTGACTTCGTATTCAATATACAAGTTGATAATAATTACAGAATTGTTATGTATTTAGTGTTGCGTATTTGTATGTGATTTGATAGTTTTCTGTTAATTTTACATAGTTTACTGTAAACATTTGATAGTGAGTGATATATAGACACTATCGGTCAGTCAGCAATAACGTAGAACTTCGTACAAACGTACATCAGTTCAAGTTGCCATAACACATTAGTACAGAGATGCGGTTGTCGATTCAAATCCCATCGTGGTAGAGGTAGTAAAAGTATAAGCAGCTAACTGAAAGATTACGGTTTGACGATGTTATTCAAGGAGTATAATTCAGTGAAGTAAATCTGGAAAGAGCAAAAAAAGAGACAAGGAGAATTCGGGAGATTATAATTCAGGAGAACACAAAGAGTGGATTCACTTTCACCATTCCAAACGATTTTGAGCTATGTCATTCAAGGTCTCTAACCATCGGTTGCTATCGTCTCGCCGATCCCAACCAATTATCAATGACTTCATGGATTTGTGCCATATTTTGATCTTACCACACCTAGCTTTCTTCCAACACCATTAAACACTATATTGAAATGATTCAGAAGAGATTTAATTACAGTGGATGCTTTTCGTTGGTGCTGTGTTTTTTCATAAGCTGGATAGTTTAATTTGAAAGTTTCGTGATCATTCTATTCAAGATGATGTTTCCATGTAACACATTTCTCACTGATCTGATTTCAACAAAATAGTTTATATTTTAATTTTTCACATTATCAATATCTATGTTTTATTGATTGAACAACCATGAACAAAGTGAGTAAATAACCCAGATTCAATATGAACTAGACAATGAAGGTGTGGTAAGTGTTGCGAAAGGTTAAATCTTATGTATATACCAACCTTCATTCAAGATCACCAATGTTAAAGCTTATTGATTAACAAAATATCGTCTATCCGCCAAGTGATAATCAACTTGACTTTATATACACTTGCTATGAAATCAACTGTTATGTCTCATCGTGGTTGTTCGGCTATTGATGAAGTTCTGAGAAGATTGAAAGTCACTTAATGATGAATAACAATAATACATACGGAAATCGTATTTAGAACAACTGTATTGATTCGAATATTTAATACAACAGCAAAATGTTCTAGCATGTTACAATATAACTTAAAGTTTCTTGTGTTGGTTAGTATGAGGAAGATCGTCAATACTTCTCAACTTTTCCGTTTTGCATTCTTCAACCTGACGAGATCAAAACCGACTCAAGAAGAATAAATAAATCGGTCTATTCTTGATATGACGGGATAAAAAGGCAACTATCAACAAGACAACCACCAGTCATAACTATTCAAAAGTTAAAATAACCCATGTATGCTAGATATAATACTATTGCAACATTAAGCCAACCTTTTAAACTGACGTGTTATGAACATGTTAGAATCCGGATTTTAAATGTCTATGTTGCTTATTTGTTGACTAACGCTTATTACCCTTCTTAATCTGTCTAAAAAATATGAAGAGTAGTACACAACTTCAAGGATCGAAGTAAAGTTGCGTAACGATCAAGAAGTGAAAGAGAAATGATAAGATAGAACCAAATATATAAGGAGTAATGATTATGGTAAAAATGAAACAAAGTTTGAAAAACATGAAGGTGGCAATAAAAAGTAACAATAACCGATTATGTGAACGAGTGAAGTTGGTTATTAGAGTCATTATATTATGACAACTTAACGCGACGCTTTTGGAAATATAACTCAGGTTTGAAATGGTGAATTGCTACCGCTTCTACAGCGAAATCATCTGAGACATTGTTGTTATATAGTTGGATTTTTGAATTAAGCTAACTAATTTTAAGAAAATAAACTGTTTAAACATTTCTGCCTGTCAAACGTAAATCTGCCTTTTTGATGGAGTTTTGCTTTAGTCAAAAACCAAATCAATGGAAGATACAAACAAAATAAAGAATTGAACAATGACAGGTTTAAGGTCAACAAGAACCAATAAACATCGAGGTCTAGAGGACAAGCTGTTAACCACATGTGGAGAAATTCGAACACTTCACTTCTATCTGAAGTTTGTGCTGATGATGTCATTCGTAAGAACGATGAAAGCTCCACGACCAAAACATCCAGCTCAGTGAACAAAACTCTATCAAAATCATCCACCTGAGCTACAAATCTTCACCATCTATAAATCTGCCCATAGTTTCAACTGAAATAAATGGTTATTTAAATTATCTACATAATAATCTTATGTTAATAATGGTCATTGTATGAGGTCCACCTATTCATCTAATTATTATTATGAAATAAAACCTACTTATTTGACGACTCCACTTGGAGCCCCCCTGAGGCTACTGCCGATCTGAATCACGGATAAAGGAGAAGAATTGGGCATGGGGTTAGCGACCCCATTCTGTAGAAAACTAACTCGCTGAAAAAGCGCTAACCAGAAAGAACTTATTTGACGCTTATTATCCCAGTTGTCAACAATCGACATTAAGTTTCACTACAGAGCACAAAGAATGATGATTTTTTGAGAATATATGTAATGAATAATTCCGAGTATGACTTTTTAATTTTAAAATAAAAGCATTTTTTTAGTATCTAAAACTTATTCAAAGTAAAATCTATCAAAAATTTCCCAAGTATTTTTGAACTACCCCTTGAATAGACTATCCTCTGGCTGCTTGAAACAGATATACGAAATGACAAATTTGAAGAATTACAGTATTTATTGAGAGCAGAGTCTTTATTTGATCACATAAATACTAGTACAAGGGGGCACCAGATACATATGCCCTACACAAACCTCATTTGATTTGTGTGAGGGTGCCCAAACCGAAGTAGATGATTTTCTTAGGAGGACACACCCGGAGCCTTCAACTTAAAGATCTCGTCCACAAGACAGTGGAGCATCGTGAGGAGATGCAGTACCATGGTAGCCGGTTCCTAATTATTGGTTCATACGCCATTTATTCCCTCAAGATCCTGGAGCCAATGTGCACTTTTGGTTTGGAATCAGTGTTTTCCAACTCCCCTAGGTGGACTCTCCATGTCCACTAACCCGGTTAAACGCCGGACATTCGCTTTTCGTCCTCTCAATTTCGTAAACAACACCCCCGCCACGAGAAGGCAGTGAGTAGGACTTCCCTGGCAGAGGCTATATACGCATGGCCATGTGAGGGCATTTGGAGAGAGACAGAGTTGACTCTCCCCACTCTCGGCCGTACCAGGGCATTTGGAGGCAGATTCTTCATTAGACATTTAGAAAACTACATTTTTGACTGATTGCAGAGCAGAAGGACAGAAGACGAATCGGACATGTTTCACATCATCAAAAATATTATTCCCCATTTCAATTCTCATCTTTACTTATATGCGCTTGTTTCATGATAGCCCCTATTCATGTGTACCCTTTTTCATTTGCTCTTTAGAATGAATACCATTCTACATTACTTATCACATAGACTGATTAAAATGTTTACATCATATTTATACAATTTTTTTCCACTTTATGGACACTTGGATAGATATGTGTGGGTTTAACATGCTTATTCAACTTCATATGATGCATAAATATGTGTGCACGTACCTGTGTGGATTTTTCGGTGTTTATTTAAAGTAAACAAATCAAAAATCGATAAAAAATTACAAAATTGGTTTGTGTTAAATAAACAGCACTAGAACTTCAGACACATAGATTATTTGTTCTGATCTGAAATGTATTATGCTTGCCTCGTAACTTCAATATACTATGTCCTACCCCCCCCATGTGGGGTTAAGAAAAGCAACTTGCATACATATTTTTACAGAGAGAAACGAATAGGTTACTTCTCAAAAGAAGTATTGATAATGGTAAATCTTCTGACTGAACGCTTGAATAGGTTTTCTAAACTCTTCTAATAACCAAAGGCTAACTCTACACAACAACTTGAATACGAGAGGAAAAGCACGAAAAATGGTAAGGAGGCTTTACTTCAAAGTTAGTTTATGTACAGAAATTGGAGGTATTCATAGCTTTTCAGATGGCTTTGGGCTTCTGGAACCCTACTAAACACAATAGCAAGATTGGTAACCATCCAATCAGAAATGTGACACATGACTTCACTTTCCAGTAGTTTATGAGAAACGCTTATTCAATGCTGATTGGACTAAACGTTTCCAGGGGCAATTTAGGCTTTTTTCAAGGAATTCTCTAAACCTCCCCAGCCCCTTTATCCTTTCTTCTTCGAGTCTGCTTGCAGCCTGGTGACTGGCTTCCGACGCCGTTCCGACTTCCTTGGTGTCCTGTGACTACGAATTTCCATTCTATTGTTCTCCATTATGTCCCTAAAAGTTCTGTCATTATACTATCTGTAATTATTCCCAGTGAGAGACTCACTTGCCTATCTACCGCATTCAACGTCTTTTTCTTCTCTATGGATTTGGTTGATGAATCTAATCCACGTTCCGAAAGTCCCACCCACTTCATACAAAATGTTTCTTATTCTTTGTCTCAGTGAAGTGATCACAATAAATTAATCACAGGCTGTATATTTTAACTTTTTGGTCACACATTGATTGACTCTTAAGTACCATCGAAAACCGGGAACTAATAGGAATCTATATCGTACCACTATGGAACTTTTAATCAGTGGAACTCACGACATCTTCAGAAAATAGACCAACGACCTTCAGATTCCGTGTTTTAAATAAATAAATATACAAATCACATGGTGGACGCATAAACATCAAAATCACTGATATAACTTTAACCATAAACAATTTCCAATATAGTATGACGACCATTCAAAAGGAATGATGACAATTGTCACAATCCCGGCGTGTTTGAAGCCCACCAACAGTGATTTCTCGATAGTTCTAATGGTTGAACGTTCGTCACAACACCTGAAAGTTCTGATTTCGATCCTCGATATGGTTATAGATGAATCCTACGGAATTGTCCCGTACTAGAATGGAATGTTTGTCCATTGTCTCCTGGTTTTCATTGATACCGCAAATGAGATCAAACTATGACGCATACTACGCACAATCATAGATTCCTTTGAAGATAACTAAATCCGAGATAAATGTTTTATAAAGAGCTGTTAATGATAGCAAACATGGCTAAATTTCCATCCTTGATACATCTGGACACATGTTTCTAATCCTTTATTTCAGTAGTATATAATCTGAAATGCTGTATGTAGAAATGTAAAATTTCTCTTGCAGTAAAGAAAAATAGTAACGCATTTCAAATATTTCAAGGATACTCCAATGTGAAAATGATTCGACTAATATGTGCATTGTAGAACCTGGAACATATGGGTTCCCATATTACAATGAAATAAAATTATCATAACAAATCCCGGAGTAGTAGAAATAGTTACAGTGTCTGTGGTAGTAAATAATACTAGACATAAGTAGTACGATTTGACAAGCGAAAATAAATTTGAAGAATAAAAAAATAATACACTGATTTTAAATATGAAGATCTAATGGTATGGAAATAATAAACACATGATTCACTGTGATCGAAGTTGAACTATATCAGCCAGTCTCCAACTATTGGCTACGACCATAGTCTGAACTTATTAACATGTCTCAGTTCAACAATCAATGTTAATTAATTAATAATTAGAATTCACAGAAACAGTAATTTTAAAACTCTGGATATCTAAACAAAGATGGATAGTGATTAGCAGTGGAATCCAGGACATGCATTTCTTTCTATTTGGGACTCGTCAGCTAGATATAATTGCATCTCAGAGTTGATATTCACTCTGAGACTCCAACTCAGTACTATTCACTTCAAACGTTATCGTGTATATCCACTTAGCTACTGAGTCCTGATAGTCACTTGCTTATGCAATAAGGGTGAAGTTTTTCAATTCACTTGATATTGTTTACTTGTATCTTCCCACTGGATATCTAAATAAAAGTGACCTACTTTTTTTTTTGTGTTTAGCATATATCCCTGTAGGCTATATTATAGTTACTAAGTATATCCACCCCCCTAATTATTTCTTCCTTGTTAACCTTTCAGCATATTACAATTTATTTATTATAATAAATTCTTATTAAATATTTAGGGTATTACAAAACAAGAACAAACTATACAACATATTTGTTCAGATTGGGAAAAGATATTGAGATTTAAATCAATATTAAGAAATCAATATCAATCTATAAAAGGTTCGATTGATTTACGATTTGGAATGTGTATCGATTCAATGAATCATAAAATGTTATTTACATCAAATGAAAAATTTTCCCTATATTTTATTCATTTGTTAAGGTAGTTAATTAAGGTAATGATTAAGGCATTGATTGTTGTTGTTTACGTAAATCTGATCAACAATCGGTTATTGCATACTATCTGATATTCTTTCTTTAACTATTTGCAACATTTTGTATTGTTTCAGTCAGTCAGCAACAATATAGGACCAGGCACATATATCCATCGGTTCAAGTTGCCACACCTCATTAGCACAACAAGATGAACACCAAATTCATAGAAGTAGTTAATTCAATGGCGCTAATATATAAAAGAAAGATTGCTTATAAGAATATAGTACAGGAAGAAAGAATTAGCTCGTAGAAAGAAATATACAAAGCAATTTTAATCTCACAGTCTGAGCGAAGACAGGGAGTGTATACACCGACGCCATTGTGATCGATTCTCAGCCATGTCACCAAGAGTCTCCAACCATTGGTTACGATAGTCACGCGGACCCCAATCAAGTAGTCTGCATCTACTAACATGGCTCAGACTAGAAGTTAGTGATTTCAAGCACTGATTCCACGTTTTGGTTTGGCCACACTCCTAACTTTCTTCCAACTGTCTCCAACACAAGTTAGTATTACGCGTTGTGGTAAGTGGTGTTCAGGCATACGTACCACGTGACCCAACCATCTTAGTCGATGAAGTTTTACAACATCATCAACTGACTTTACTGATTGATATAACCAGCGATGTTATTATTGATCTGTTCGGACTGTAATTCACCTTCCCTTAGGTTCTAGATATCTACTTATAATTTCACCAATTACTAGTTATGATTGCCAATGTTGATTGAATTTCATGGACAACATTCTAATGAACTTAATTTAATTTTAGATGGTTAGAAAAAATCATCAAACATGCTTTACTCATCACTTATTGTAGATTTTTAATTATTTAAGAGGTCAGGAAGTATCTCGAATAGTTCAATGGTAATGTCTTTGATAATGGTTCACATCTCTTTCAAAAACAAAAAGACATTGAAATTTTCAACTTCCATCGATAGACCTTACTGATGATTCCCAACTAACATAAAACTAATGAATTGTCTTCAATAAAATACATTGCAATATCAAATTATCGAAACTAGTAATTTAATCCACTCTAAATAGTAGTGTATTGACCAGAGGTTATTTCAGTTATGTGATTAATGTGGCCTATGTGCCCTGTTAATGTATAACTTGATGATACCGTCAATTAGAGAACATTGAATTATCGACTGGACTAATGATGCATAAAAGAAGTACGAGCAGTCTAGAGTCTTCACTGGTCCTTCTTCCCGTCTAATCCTGTCTGATGGAGTCCAGAACACCGATCTCAACCTCTGAGATATGAATCATTTATTTCAAGCATACTGGGTTTATATACCAATCAGACAGACCACATCGTACCATAAAATAGGAAACAACACCTGTACAAGATTTAGCCAAATGTGGCTGTGAATATGGGAGGTAGTAATTGATAGACTTGAGTATAACTCAAGAATGATAAATCGTATCATAATAGTTCATAGATCAAAATAAAGCTCATGATAAGAGGGATATGAATATGAATAGTTTAGTTGCTAAACAATTATACGATAATAATATACTTATAGTATTAGTTCAGAAATAGTTTCCAATAGTTACCATTCATTATACTCATAGGAATATAACAAGTTATTATCTACATATTCTATTGATTATTAATATCTGGTTGTTGTTTTTTTATGATTAGTTATGATCACAAATAATGAAAATAAAGAAAAGAAATTAATTCAATCATCTATTGATCTTTATCAATATCTTATCAATATAAAATTAAATATCATAAAAGAGCAATGTATTGAACGTGATCAATTATTGAAACAATTTCTACCGGAATTAATGAAAAAATTTAATGAAATTAATCAATATTTTTACAATGATATTAACACATCCAAACAATGATAAGATGATGTAATCAATGAATGATTCAAAAGAAAATCGAGAGAAAACATGACAAGGAACATAATGATGGTGATGATGATGACGATGATATGGAATAGGTTAAATGAATATGTTTCAATTAGATTTATTTTGTTTAATAAAACAAAACAAAAATAATCATCATAATCATAAAACATTTGTTTATTGACTTTTTTTTAAGACTCAGCAGTTCACATTCACGATACCACCTTGCAGGAATCAGTGGTTTAGAGGCTCAGCGCTTGCGCGTGAGACCGAAAGGTTTTAGATTCGAATCCTATGGGTGGGATGGTGGGTATGCATTTGTGAGGAGTTTTATACTAGGACAAAACGACCGTTTAGTGCTTCAGTTTTTCATAAGGGTCTAATTTTAATTGAACCATGAATTCAATTATGTAATTACTACAATCTCCACAAAAACCCTATTCCGGTAATAATCATCATATGCTAACTAGTGACTGGCTTCATGAGGTATTTCCTGAAGTTCTAGTGAGAAGTCGTGGTCAGAGAAGTTCAACTGTGTCTATTGTGAAGTAGTTACTCGATCAGGATAATGGTGGATGGTTGCACAACATCGTGGATTGGTCGAATTTTAGACATTAACACCATTGAATACCTTAGCAGTGGTCTAGTTGGTAAGCATTCGCGTACGAGACCGAAGGGTTCTGGGTTCGAATCCTACGGATGTGATCGTAGATATTGATTGTTGATGAGTCTCATACTAGGACAAAACGACGGTTTACTGTTTCAGAGTTTTTCATAGTGGTTTAACTTTAATTGACTCATGAAATCAATTATTAAATTACTATGATCTCTACAAAAATCTCCTTCTAAATATATACATATATATTTAGACAAAATTTAATAAAAAGGAATGTAATTAGTTCATAAGCGTAGAAAAATGTTTTGAAATAGTCTGATATCTAATATCATACACTTAGTTCCCTTTATTATCTTAAAAAGAGCAAGAACAAAGATTGGTGCTGAATAATAAATGGATTCATTTTATTTCGTTAGGTTCTCATCAGCTGCTTACAACCTAAAATATTTGAAAATCAACATTATTATAGATATTGACATACTTATACATAAGACGGTAATTAAAGATGGATATATGTAACATGATGTAGCAAAGATTTCGTTAGAGTTAATGAGGTCATTCAATTTTTGTTTCAAATATATAGAGTTTGAGAGGGAAGGTTCCAGAACATCGAAATAAGGATTAGAAATCATGGGATTAAAAACACATTAGATTGTTATGCAATGCTACATCATGATACATATATATTCATCCTTCATCACCCTCTGATGTATAAGTATGTCAATATCTATAATAACGTTGAATTTCAAATATTTTAGGTTGTAAGGAGCTGATGAGAACCTAACGAACTAAAAAAATGAATCTATTTATTATTCTGCACCAATCTTTGTTCTTGCTATCTTTAAAATGATATTTAATAGTTGCTTTTTGATTTCTCCAAGAAACTTGAAATGCGACAATGAAACGAATGTATACTTTGCAAAGTTTGGCAAAATTCATCTTTATAAAGTTGTTAAGACTGGTTGAAATTGATAAATATGTTTTTCACAGGTTGAAATCATGAGTCAGTTGAAGCTAGACCACCATTGAAAACCTGGAAGCACTGGACGGCCGTTTCGTCCTATTGCGGGACTCCTCAGCAGTGCGCATCCATGAACCCAGCCCCCGCGGGATTCGAACCCAGGACCAGTCGGCTTCGCGCGCGAGCACTTAACCATTAGACCACTGAGCCGGTGTCCAAAGGTGTTAATGTCTAACTTCAACCAATCCACGAAGTTGCGCCACCGAACACCATTGTCTTCAATGAGCTGATATCTCACAACAGACTTGATTGAACTCCACTGGTGACGGCTTCTCACTAGAACTCCAGGAGGTTCTCTTGAAGTCAGTCACTAGTGAGCAGTTGATTATTATCAGAATGAGTTTTGTGGAGATTTTAGGAAATTTCACAGGTTGAAATCATGAGTGCTTCCAGGTTTTCAATGGTGGTCTAGCTTTAACTGACTCATGATTTCAACCTGTGAAATTTCCTAAAATCTCCACAAAACTCATTCTGATAAATATAACTTTGTAGTGGAACCTTATGATGGGTATATTATACTATGCAAGCTAAGTTATAGGGAATAGTTATTAGATGGCACCTGAAGTGGAAATTACAATTTATGTAAATTTCATGTGATTCAAAGCATTATTATGAGTGTTTATTAATGAAAAAAAACTGACCTTGATAGCATCGTCGGGCATCTAACTCCCATTGACGATGATGGAACCTAGGTCACAATCAACTTCAGATATTTACTTAGAGTTAAAGGTGCGCGATGAATAAGATACAAATAATGGCTTATGAAGTCTGATACGAAATTTGTTGTAGCTCCGTATATTGCAAGTATTTCCATAAGCAGACAAGCCGTGAATGAATAGAATAAGTTTCTTGTAGAAATTAGTGTGAGATAAAATTGTTGAATTAAATTTGACTCAATTTATATATAGGAGCATACACCCCAAGAAACATACACGATGTACAGAAAATATACATCTCGTTATTCATATGAGCAATACTTACTTAGGCATGTTATCCCTCGTGGAGGAACATAGACTGCCCATCAGCATTCTCCATCAAAATGTCCTGGAAAATCCTTTCCAGTAACTATTCATCCTTCTCATGTTTGATTCAGATTCCCATTGCAGTGCGTTTGTTGATTTTCCTCTTTCACGTTTCTATGTTAGCACTTGCTTCGTCATACAGCTTGGTGATTACCGTAATGTATGTCTTATCCACTTCCAACATCTTTTTCTAATTCCCTCTTCAGTTGTAAGTTGATTTTTTCTCTGTCACAGTAGATTGTTACTGATAGTATCCAATCAATGGACCTAGTATATTTTGCGTAGACAACTGTTTATAAATATTCGTACTTTTTTATAATGATTGTGGTAGTTCTCCACGTTTAAGCTCCGTACAGTAGAATTGTTTTGACGTTCGTATTGAAGATCCTGATATTGGTTGACAGTTGTTTCGAGTTCCATATGTTGTTCAACTGTAAGAATGCTGCCCTTGCTTTGCCAATCCTTGTCTTTATATTTCCATCACATGTGAGAAATTGTACAACACAATTCAACAGAACTAGAAATGAAATATTTACACGTCAGACTTGAAAAGATAATAATAGATTGCATAGGGGTCTACTCCAAATTGGTACATTCCAAACCATAAAAAATGCCTTGATTAGCAATTTGGACTTTGTTTACCTAATATTTCGTCAACCATAAATGAATGAAATTAAACAACTAGACATTTGTTTGTGAACTCCTTCATAACTTTACGGGATATGCGCTTTTGCGAAGGCTAGTTAATGATACTACTTTTCGACTACTTGAATCAAAAAAAGGTAGAGTGAAGTTGAAAGATTTAATCATTTCATCATTTGAAGTTCAATATAACACAATACAATGTCAACCGATCAAATTTCGTTAACAGCAGAAAATGATTACAAATAGAATAAATGGCAACCAATTGTATTAGATATTACAAATGAATATTGTCAATAATAATCAAAGGGAATAAGAAGAATATGGCAACTACGATGGAGGACAAAAAAAACCGGATTATAGTACTTTAATTTTGGAATTAATGTAAAATGTACATATTACATATTATGCAATTTCATTGTCGGTCATGGTGAAATATCCTATGAAGGTTACTAGTGATAATGTTTGATGTGTTAATGAATGGAATAAACATTGATTCAAATCAGTTCATCTCAAAAACAAAGTCATCTAAATCTTTATGTTTAAAACATAGAAACCTTGAATTCAAGCTTCATCGAAGTTGGTGCTCATCAGCAAAGTGTACTTGCGAATTCGAAGCAACTGATGCTCCATAATGAATTCAACACAGTTTCATTAGGTCAGTCCAACCACCTCGTATTTCAAAAAAGTCCATGCGACAATGACCAATCTAAACGCTACAGATCCATATATAAATAAGGAATATTTACTACATAAGTGAACAACTGCAGATTTGGTTAGACACTAACCGTATAAATAATAGGGATGTTATATTTGCAATATCCTGACATTTTGTGACTCAGTGTAAGTCACTTCATCAGAGAATGAAAAAAGATAACTATTTAAATAATTTATACCACCCAGCTTCAATCGATTTCCCAAGATTATGCAATCATATAGTTAGCCTACGAATGAACTCATTAAAAACACATATACCGTATCTAAAACTGGTTGGTAAATTCCGTTAAAACGTATTATTTAATGACTTATTTTCATTATTGATAGTAATTAACTAGGAACTGGAATTCTATATGATATAAAGACATACAGAATTATTAACCTTAAGCTTAAAACAATGGATTAATGTGACCGGATTATAAGACAATTATAAATGAAATAGAAATTACTGATAGTAGTACACTACCTTAGTACAATGTTATATTGATCATATAAATTCCTGAAATCATCTATATATCCAAAACAAAAAAGATATCAATATGAATATAGTGAATAATTCATACAAACTATTCAACCAGTTTCATACAAACAAAATTGAAAGTATTTTTTCAATATAGGGTTGTTAGTCAATCAGTAACAACGTAGAACTTCATACATACGTATATCCATTTGAGTTGCCATATCATATTAGTACATAGATGGAGTTGTCGATTGAAATCCCATAGTGGTGGAGATAGTAAACGTATAAAAAGTAATAGGAAAGACTAGAGTTTGAAGATGTTATTCAAGGAGTATAATTCAGTGACATAAATTTGGAAAGAGGAAAAAGATTAGGGATATGAAGAATTCAGTAGATTAGAATTTAGGAGAACACAAAGAGTGAATGTTCCTACTCCATTCCAAACGCTTTTGAGCAATGTCACATTCAAGGTCTCTAACCATCGATTGCTAAGGTTATTAGATCACTAGGTTTTCAATAATAGTTTAACATGGATAACTTTATGATTTCAATAAAGTAAAAAAAGAAGAAAAAGAAAGGAACTAATTTCAGAATCAATAATTTCTTATTTTCTCAGTCACTAATACACACAAAAAAAACATTTACTCTGAGATATAAGAAAGAGTAAAATGATTTACATTAATATCAATGTTGTGTTCAGATGTAAATGAATAGATTGTCTATAGTTCAAATGAATAAATAATCATTAACATTAATAGGAAGTAATAGAATACACTTTAAACAAAACATATACAATAGAGCAATACCATGCTCATATGATTTTGAAATAGTGGAGAAAATTTGTACCTCAAGTGGATAATTTTGATGAAGCTTTGTTCTCTGAGCTGGATGATTTGGTCGTAGACCTTCTTATCCTTCATCTGAATGACATTATCAGCACAAACTTCAGGTAGACGTCTTCTATGATGAACGATGAAAGCTCCACGACCATATCACCCAGCTCAGTGAACAAAACTCGATCAAAAATAGAGTAATACATAGAAACATATAGATTATATATGCAAAATACGTTATAAATGCATTTGAAGCAAAATAATAAAGGAGGCAAACTTTTTTTTAAAATAAATCCCATTTCTTCCTATGAAATGGGTAAATAATAAGGAAAAGAAATGAAAAACAACCCATGGATCATAGACGAATAATGATAATAATAATAATATCTAATCTTGAAATGAATGTAGTGTATACACATCTAGAAAGAATATTTTATCACAACAACAACAACAGCAAGAAAAAGAATGAAGGGCGAAAAACAAAACATGGCAGCAATAATAATAATAATTGGACGTGTTTTTGTAATCATCTTCATGAAAGAAAAATCAATTTTGCCATAGCAGATACCTTTTATAAAGTAAGGAGAATAATGATGATGTTGATGATAAAAGTTGGAATCATTTCATTATAATCATTGACCAATCCATAACATAATGAACAGCAGTTAATAGTTACATAATATTCATAAACCGGGGTTAATATCATGCACACACACAAAAAAAAGCAGGCAACGATGAACATATACAAACAGATCATATTTATATGTATATAATAAACTTAATGTACACAAATGAATCATCGTAATGGATTACTTAATAATTGCAAAAGAGAACAAAATGTATCTATCCGTAGATAGATGATAGATACTCTTTTATTACCAATCTATTCAATGAAGATACAATGATGATAGTGATCATTGGAAACATTTTTAGAAAATGGAGAAAAAACAAACAATAACACATTGATTAACAATTTTCAAAACAACAAACAAACAGAAGAGGAAGAAGAAGGGTTCTAAACATATAAGTATGTTTATACATGATATAAGTAGTATCTGAAAGACTAAAAACATTTCTCTTTATATAGATGGAAATAAATAAGAATTTCTAAATTAGAAAAGAAAACTATCAATCATGTTTGTTTAAATGTTTTCAATGAAAAATCTTTCTGAAATGATCAAGAAATATAAGGGATTAATGAGAAAAATAAATAAATAAATAAATAAAGGAGAGACCAATGAGGTATCCATTTACAACAGTTATATTATACATTCAAAATCGATGTGTTCTATATCTTATTGCCAACAACAAATGAATACATTTAAATATCAAAATATTGTAATAGATATACAATATGAAGGTAGATTAGTTGTAAAAAAAAGAGAGAGAGAGGAGGAGGGAAAGGAGAAAACTCTTCAGTTACACTTGGAACAATAGACAACAACAGATATTTGAATGTATATATGTGTAACTGTATGTAAATATAAAAAATTACTAATATTAGCAGTATAACCAAGAAGTATCATGAAAGCGTACAAGCATAATAACGACTAGAAATGATTATTCGATATAATAGATGGTGGAGTTGACGGTGGAGATGTTGTCGTTGTTGTTGTAGTTGACGTTGCTGATGAAGATGAATTTAAGTAAACACTTGTAATCATTGGATCATCTGGTATAAGACAAAGATCTTCTAATGGACCAATTGACTCAGTCATAACAGCTGGTGGTAAATCTTTCCACATTGAATATAATTCACCATTGATAGGACAATATGATTGATCATAATTCACTATTTTGTTATCGATTGTTGATTTTGGTGTAGATACAGTAGAATTTGATGGATCAGATGGAGGATTTGGTTGAGTAAATTTTAAATAACTACCAAGGGTAAAACGATTAGCATTATTACTACTATTATGTTCAGTGTTACTATTAGTGTTATTAGTCATTTCTAATATTTTATCAGAATCCAATGATGATTTTCTAAGCATCAATTCATGATTATCGGTTTTCGATTGAAGACGTTGTGATGTCAGTAGACTTTCATATTGATATTCCAATTGTAAATAACCTTGTTTACGTTCAGCTAGTTGAGTTTTAAATTCCATTTCACGACTACGCCACATAACACCATCGGCTTTACGCTAAAATTTTCAAACGAAACATTATTCAGGGAAAAAAATAGTTAATTGTGACATTGTCGTGAAACAATGAGAAAACAAATCAAGCATAGAAATTTGTAATTACAAAGTGTACTATCCACAATGTTATTATTTGAAGGTATTAGATTGTCCAATCAATGAGTCAATATTTTAGAACCCTACTAGATCGCCACTGCATTGTATTTAATTAAATGTGAATTTAAACAGGATCAATACAGAGGATTTAAAAGTCAGTCAGCTACAACGTAGGACCAGGCACATATATGCATCGGTCCAAGTTGGATTGTTAGTACAGGTTGTTCAATTTCGAGATGGGAATGTAGAAAAATCAAATTGGAATTCAATAGTTTGAAAGAAATTGTGCTCATGAGAAGACCCGAAGATCTTTCGGTAAATAGGAGAGACTGTTTAACGGACTTAAATTATAACAAAGCTACTGTCCAATACTCCGACGTTTTCACTGATTTCAGAGCTGATGTTAATCCAAAAAAAATTATATTGGAGGGGTTACATTTGTAAGAAAACTAGTCAATCTTGTGATTCAGTGAAGAAAAGTGCCAATAATAATAATGGTGATGCATATTAGTATCCTGGTTGAAATGAGAACCAGGCTTGCAGTGCAATGAATCTAAACATTTAATAAAGTTAAAAAAAATAAGTAACGAATATTGATTGAGAACTGTGTAATATACGATTTCGTGTTTGCTATCCAGTTCTTGGTGTCGATCAAATTTTATCCATTAACTTGAATGAAGCCAATAGTCTAAGTGAATTTGTATTGCCTAGCATTGTAGTTTGAGGTTAGAGGCCTATGAAAGGACTGGACCTAGATTTCGAGCTAACTAGGAATCATCAACAAGGGATACTTGGAAATTAGATACTATTGACCGTTTCGCCATCTAGTCGATAGAATTATGTTAGGAATGAAGAAAAGATAAGTAAGAAATTGGTTAATACACAGTGACTATTCTATGCAAGTATTTCAGTTCTATAGCGAATTATTCGTAGCGTGAATAGTTTAGTGGCAACATCTAATATTATCAAACCAATATGACGTGGATCAAATCCTACAAGAGCATTAGTCCTCTCAAGATTGATACATATTATTATATGGCCTCTAAAATTACTGAAGTTATCGACCATCGATCTGAGTCATTCTAGTACGTACAGTTTACCCAGTTGCGGTCCACGCTATTAATGTGACGGATAGTTGCGAACGTTAGCTGATAAACCTCAGAGTCTATTTCAATGATGTAATTGCATTCACTCTTTCTTTCCGATTATATCATGAGTTTTAGAAACATTTTATACACCTAATTCATTTTATCGAGTCATTTTCTTTATGCCGAATCTTCACTATCACTAATACTTTTGATAATCAGGTATTTACCTTGATAATTTTGTTCTCGATGTATAGTTGCAGTGTGACAACTTGAGCTAATGTATATATTTACCAAGTTCCATATTGGTTATAACTAACGTCAGCAGCTGAATATTAGTGTGCCCGGTAGGCTCTTACAGAACATGTACTAGCTACTGTATAAAGCTTAGTAATCACTTACACATAATTATTAGGTTGATAATACAAACCTGAAACAAATTTTTAAAAAAAACTGGGAGGACAGACAGAAACTAATGGGCAGTGAGACAGCGAAATCTATTACAAAGAAGTACATCACGGGATTGTTGTTGAACAGCAGTGGTCCTAACACCAAAGTTAGTTTGGCAGGGAAGAAAAGATGTGGACAAGGATGTGGACGAGTACAGAATAAACAAATCTAAGAAAAGAGCAGTATACTAATACTGTGTACAATTTATCAATACAATAGTCATACCACAGGAATATTATGTAGGTATGTTTTTATCAATGTTACAGCACAGAATTGACAGAAAAAAGATCAACAAATATGCGTCGGAAAAAATCGGTATGTATTAATGATAAACAATCAGTAAACTCATTCACCAGGTACTTATGTACGAGATGGATATATTTTAAGTGTGAGGACTGATGATAGTACTCAATTCCGCAAACCAGAGTAGATAGAGTGGCGTTCAAACCTGAGATTTAGTGGTGTTGAGATGAATTTGTATTTTTAGTATATACTAAACAATTGTTCTAACGTTTCTAAAGTATTTAAAATGCTAACCTAGTCGTAAAATATGGTACTGACTTTGAGACTGAATATCGACGTGTAGGCTCAAGATACTATTTACCAGTTTCGTAAGAAAATAAAGTTGGAACGTATGATGACTTGGTATAAAGTTGAATGTTCTAAGTATTTCCAGATGGTTGAAAACCGTGAGTGACATGAAATTCACTGAGACGTTATTTAAAATGTTTTGTGCTTTGAGTAAGTAAACCAAGTACAAGGATATAACCTTATGAAGGTACAACAACTGGATAGCTTTTTTAAAAAAAGTAATTCAAAATACTATTTGAATATGATATACATGAAGGTTCTTCAGAGATATCCCACAGTTTTTTAAGTTCATGTGATACTGAATGATCATACTTCAGTGCGATAAAATTTACAGTTGTGAGAAAGCTAATTCCAGAAGAAAACAGTACCCCTGCAGAAAACCTACTTACAGTATATTCAGCTAAAAAAGACACGACGATAGGAGACTAAATAAAACGTTAATTCATCAACAACAAAAAAAATAAGGGGAAGAAACTAGACCGTGATAGAAGACGAAATATGAACAATGAAATCCCAACTTTCAGTGATCCAAAAGAACAGTAAAAATAGAAATAGACTTGGAAATCTTACACCGATTTCATTAAATCAGAATTGTCACTATGCACTGAATAGTACTAACAAACTAGAACGAAACAACTGTGCAACGGTACTTCCCGGTTTTACATGTTATTGAAGTTGATTTTAGTTATCAGTAACATGGAGGCTGGCACATATGGGTTAAGGTCCGAATTGAAACAACAAATCAGCACTGTGAGATGAAATTATCAAGACAAACATCAGCGGTAGAATCATTAGTTATAGAAAATATTCGTGAAAAAAAAGGAGAATGAATACGTGGAATAAAAAGCATAAGTCCTTCAAGTCATAGAGTGAGCTATGTGGCACAATATCTCCAACCTCTGGTTATGATAATCGTACCTACTTACATGACTAATTTCAACAATCAATAAATACCACATATTAGAATAGATTTAGGTAAACAACACTGTTTTTTATTTAAATCACTGTCAGAATTTACTGATCATATATAGTTACCAAAACTTCAAAACAATATCATATGAATGTATACAGTGAGCAAAAGAGAGAAACACTATAAACAACAGAATTTAAATCATCATTTGATACACTCAAGTTTATTTTTGATACAACAATGTAAATGGAATAAAATACTTAATTTTATAGCAGTTGCCATGAGTTATTTTTTGTTCTAATGAATGAAAGTAAATATAATAGTGTAGAAATGCTGGAGAACACTTGTAACTCAGGTAGATATTATTGCATTCTCTGAGCTGGACGATTCAGAGTTCTGGACAAGATTACTGTTTTTTAATTCAAGTGTGCATACAGAACAGAAATACTATCTATCAACTCATAGATAGATCAAGGTTTGAATGAACACAAACTAATTGGGTTAGGTTCAGTAACTACCATCAGTAATTGAGAACGTTGGTAGATACGAACAAATATACAGTGGTTAGCAGTGGAATATAGGACAGGCGTTTTGTTCCATTTAGGACTTGTCAGCTGGTTGTGTCTGTATCCTAGATTCGGTATTCACTACCGGATTTGGATTGAGTAAATTTCGCTTCAAATATCAACGCATTATTCACTTAGCTGCATACCTAACTGGGCTCAAACAAACTGATCATTTACAATTCTGAACATTAATGAGAAGATTCAAGCATCCAATACAATGAGTTGGTAAAAACGGCCTAAATTCGATTGCAATGGCACAGATTCATTCAATTTTCAGTTTACACTATATCTTATGTTTCCAATTTTATCCATTCCATTTAAAGTATAGTCGCTAAAACCAATGACATACATTTTATGACAAAAGTGATAAAAGTATGTATATGATTAAATCTGTTTGCTTTTTTCAACAAAAAAAAAAGAATAACATCACTGTTACCTTCGCTTCTATATCAGCACATTTCTGTTCTAATTGCTTTAATTCCAGTGTTAATTCACGTTCTCTTGTTTGAAATGCTGTACGTGATTCAAGTAGTTCAGTGACACGTTTATCTAAACGATCAGCTCGACGATCAGATAATTCTTGTTGTACAGTTAAATCAGTAATCTGATAAATTATGTGTTTTTTGTTGTTGGGTAAAAACAGCAATAAAATGACAAATGTAAGATAGTTGATAAAAATGATGATTAGAAAGAATTAAAAAAAAGTATAGATATTTAAGAATATTTATGTTCAACAAATATACCTGGACAAATTTTATAGACTAATGGTGAAAGGGATTGCTTCATCAACTAATAGATTGCGGACTCGAACTTTGTCGACTAGTCTACATCAATTTCAGCAACTGAGTAGTACCATGGAAGCATATAACTGAAAGTTCAGTATTTAAATCAGAAATTCGTATATGATTTATATTAGGTACGAGTTATACATTCAGCATAAAGCTGTGATTCCATCTACATGTATAAACAACGTTATTTAGAGCAGGAGTTTCAGTTGGTCTACAGAATTTAAACATATAGGTTGGCTGCTAACGTTTACTTCTAATGGATTTACAGACTTATCAACTTTCCAAATACAGTACTGACAGAAAATCTAACATATAAAAATACTTAAGAAGAGAAAGATACATTGATTTTAAAGTATAAGAAAGAACTCATAGCTAGGATATTAGTAAAATTGTTGACAAGCATATTCGATCTTCCACGGTATGGATGATTTTTGATAGTAATTAATGAAGAAAAAACTTAAGCTAAACTAGTATCAACATGATGTTAAAATCTATAAGGAAATTGATTATTTTAATAGTTCTTGTCGGTAACACGAATAAAATTCGTATCCACTGTACCTATTTCATATCAATAGTTATATGATCAGTATTTTGCGATTAAGTCAAACATTAAACCTAACATTTTTATTGATTTCCTTAATTCATTATTGTGTTCGAAGTTAATTCACTTGAAGATTAGTCAGTAAGTCAGCTACAACGTAGGACCAGGCACATATATGAATCGGTTCAAGTTGCCATATTTCATTAACACAACAAGATGAACACCGGATTCCTAAAAGTGATTATACATATGTTAGAGCGGTTGTGTGTAACCCTATGAATATAAAATATATATAAATATAAATATATATAAAAGTTTATATGCACATCGTTTAAAAGGGTAATTGAAACCAAGATGGAGATCAAAAAGAGATAAAAATGCATACAATTATAGGTTAAAGATCAGCAATAACCAATCAATATCGAGGTCGTCAGGACAATAAGTCCGTCATATGAGAAGAAATTCGAACACTTCACTTCTAACTGAAGTTTATGCTGATGGTGTTATTCAGAAGAATAATGAAAGCTTCACGACTAAACTAAGAAGCTCAAAGAACAAAAAACGATAACCACTAATACTGTTGAGCTCTTTTATTACATGAATGTATTTACAATTGATTGATCACTGAGTAGTGACCAATGTCATCTTTGCCAGGTCCTTCTTAGTGCTGATCAAGTTCTATCGACTAAGTTACCAATTTATTACACCTGCGCAGGTAGAAAGTGTTATAACTTATGACCATGTGTCCTATTAATATATAACATATTTATACCGCTAATTAGATAACACTGATTTTATCGACCGGACCAATAACGCGAGCAGTCTAGAGTAATATGAATATGAATAGGTTAGCTACTTTACAATTACACAATAAATATATATGTATCGTATTGGTCCATAAATAGTCTTCAAAAGTTATTATTCATAATTAACGTCAGCATACAACACCTCCTTTTTTCAGAAGATTCGAAGTTTATATCCCAATTTTAAATCTTCCAACTTTAGAAAGTAGAGTTGTGCACAAATATCCCAAAGTATAACAGAATAGTTGGTTACTTGTGTTTATTTTTCCCTCACTCGTATGAAGAAGAATAAAAAATTATTACACATAAAATAAATTTATACCTGTTGTTTTAAACTACTGATTTGATTGACGAATCGTGTTTCCAGTAGTCGGTCAGAAAATTTCATCTTAAAATTCGTTTCATGTGAATCCAGTGAGTTTAAAGAACCAATCCAAAGTGAAGAACGTTTTGTATCATTGTTAACACCTTTACATTTTCCAATATGTGCCTAATTACAAAGCGGAAACAAGGGAGAAAAAAAAACAAATATAAGGGAGGATTATGGTTAACTTAACTCTGCTTGGAGACCGTCTTGGGTTATTGCCGGTCCCAAGCTCGGATAAAGGAGGAGGGTTGGGCATGGATGGGGTTAGCGACACCATCCCGTAGAAAACTAACTTGCTAAAAAACGCTAACCAGAAAAAATTATTCAAACAATTTAGGCTCTGCCCAGGAAAGTAGAAGGTCTTCATTTAGAACTATTACGCTCATGGTGAGAGCCGAGTTTCTTCGGAAGCCACGAGGCCGATGACCTTTCTGACAACCAGAGCAACCATTTATTTGGGTACATCGAATGCTCGTACGATGTGGGAAACCGGAAGAGTCGTCCAAATTGCTGCATATTTCGACATACGATATAACTGAATTCAGATCCTGGGTCATTAAATCCCATTATTCAACACAACACAAAAGAATCAATTATTCTAAAATCAATAAATCGATTTCTACATATATTTACAAATTGCTACAGAAATGAAGAGATGCAACCTAGAGGTGCTTGGAATCAGTGAAACACATTCGGCACAAGTTCGACAACAATGACTAACTTCAGGGGAGCTTCTGTTATACTTCGGCCATGTTGAAGAAAATGCCCCATATACACAACGAGTTGCATTCATGCTGTCCAAACAAGCACAAAATACACTTATAGGATGGGAATCTCATGGACCAAGGATCATCAAAGCCTCCTTCAAAACAAAGAAAGAGAAAATTTCAATGAACCTCATCCAATGCTATGCGCCTACCAACGACTACAATGAAGACGCTAAAGATCAATTCTACAATAGGCTGCAGTCAATCATCGAGAAGTGCCCAACAAACGACTTGACCATTCTGATGGGAGATTTAAATGCCAAGGATGGAATGGACAACACTGGATATGAAGACATCATGGGACGACATGGACTGGGAGAAAGGAACGAAAATGGTGAGAGATTTACAAACCTATGTGCCTTCAATAAACTGGTCATGGACAGCACCATATTCCCACATAAACGCATACACAAAACCACTTGAACTTCACCGGATCACACTACACAAAACCAAGTCGACTATATCTGCATCAACAAAAAGTTCAGGAGGACGATGGAAGACGTGAGAACCAAGAGAGGAGCTGATACAGCATCAGATCATCACTTGCTGGTCGCCAAGATGAAATTGACACTCAAGAAGTACTGGACAATGGGGCGGACAATATCACAAAAGTTCAATACGGCCTTTCTTCAGGATACTAGCAAACTCAATAAATTCAAGATAGTCCTCAGCTATAGATTCCAGACCTTTTATGATCTACCCAGTGGAGAAAATACTATGGACAGCAACTGGAAAGGGATAAAAGAGCCAGTGACTTTAAAAATGTCATGGGGTTCTGGGCCACAAGAAGCACAACCACAAGGAATGGATCACTGTTGATACACTGGATAAGATTCAAGAAACGAGGAACAAGAAGGCAGCAATCAACATCAGTCGAACAAGAGCACAAAAGGCAAAGGCACAAGCTGAATACACAGAAGTAAACAAGCAGATGAAGAGGAGCATCAGAACTGACAAACGTAAATATCTGGAAGATTTAGCAATGACGGCAGAAAAGGCTGCAAGAGAAGGAAATATGAGACAACTGTTCTGGCTCTTCTATCGCAAACGCAACAACAAATAAAAGAGAAAACAACCAGAGTAGAAGCCGCAGTACGTCTCAACATAAACAAAGGAAAAGCAATATTCTCCGATACAACACAGCATCGCCAATCCAATCACAATTGATGGAGAAGATTTGGAAGATGTAAACACCTTCACATATTTGGGCAACATCATTGATGAACACAGTGGATCCGATGCAGATGTGAAGGCACGGATCGGCAAAACAAGAGCAGCATATTTACAACTGAAAAACATCTGGAACTCAAAACAACTGTCTGTCAATCGACACTAAGGTCAGGATTTTCAATACAAATTCAAAACAGTTCCACTGTATGGAGCGGAAACCTGGAGAACTACGAAAGCCATCATCCACAAGATATAAGTGTTTATTAACAGTTGTCTACGCAGAATACTTCGGATCCGTTGGCTGGACACTATTAGCAACAACCTACTGTGAGAGGGAATAAACCAGATCCCAGTGGAGGAAGTAATCAGGAAGAAGCGTTGGAAGTGGATAAGACATACATTGGGGATAGCACCGAACTGCGTCACAAGGCAAGCCCTCACACGTAATCCTCAAGGCTAAATAAAGGAAAAGAGGAAGATCAAAGAACACATTATGCTGAGAAATGGAGACAGATATGAGAAGAATGAACAACAATTGGATAGAACTAGAAAGGAAGGTCCAGGAAAGAGTGGGGTTGGAGAATGGTGGACGGCGACCTATGCTCCATTGGGAGTAACAGGCGTAATTAAGTAATTAATTATGGTTAACTCAAGTGTTTTTTGATTAATGATACTGGCTGAAAATTGTGGTGTATCGCGAAAGAACTATGTTTGAAAATGTGAGGTAGTGAATCATGTAAGTCGGTAGACTAAACATATTCCGCTCGCTGAGAAACTTGAAGCTTGTATAACTCATGGCAGTTAGATACAATATCCAGGACTTGTTACGTGAGTATAAAGATAGACTTCATGAAGCAACCATTCAAGATAATCTAGCTCACAGAGCTGAACGATAGCAAGAGCATATGTGGTGTATAAAAGATCCGCTAGTCATAACATAAATACGATCTAATGTAAAAATCTATCGTATCAATGTTCTACAATTCCTATCGAGAAAGGTCTTTAGTAAATAGAAATGAATAAATTAATGTTCTACAATTAGATAACGAATTGCTAGCTAACCTGCCAAAGTGAATTCAAATCATCAAATCTTCTTTTTAACTCTTCTACTTGATTTATTAATTCTGTTTCTCGAAGTTTTGCACCAAATAATTCATCTTTTAATACAGCAATTTGTTCAGCTGATCGAAGTGATTGATCCGATTTTGACTGATTTTGTAGTCATATATTCGTTAGGTACAAATGTGTTGTAGAATTAAGAAAAGCAAAGAAAATTATTAGGAGCATTGCTTGGACAATTATAACAGTAGAGTTTAGAAGAAAGAAACAAAAACAACCCGACATCATAACAACAACTCGTACAATAACCAAGGCGATACACAAGAGATTCTCAACAGGAATTTAGACAGAAATGACTTGAAGCTACTTGCATTTTTAAAGTTTCATCTAACTTCATCTATCATAATTCAGTATGAATGACAGTGAAAACTGTTAGGGATGCAGAGGAATATACCAATAATTATCGTGTTAAGTCGAATGGTGTCCTTGGACGTTAAATGGACATTTCGATTGGTCGATATTCATTTCACCTGTCAAATATTGTAAAAATGTTGTTTTCTATTTTATGGTACGATGTGGTCTGGTTGGTTGGCATATAAAAGGAGTATGTCTGAAATATAATGATTCATATTATCTCAGAGGCTGTGACTTGCGTCTTGGACTCAACTGGCTGGGCTAGACAGGGAAGCGGGACCAATCGAGACTCTAGGTCGTTCATTACGTGTTTTACGTGTCACTGTTCATCTTGTTGTGCTAATGAGGTATGTAAACTTGGACTGATACATATATGTGTCAGGTCCTACGTTGTAGCTGACTAACTGGATGACTAACTAAAAGATAAAAGTCTATTTTCACCTATTTATATCAGAGAATGAGGTATATAATTAAAATTAAAAGAGAAACTTTTACTGACAGTGAAAGAACACGTCACTATTTTGTAATTAAGATGAAACATTCATTAATTAAAGAAATAAGAGAGTTTTACAGTTTGCTTTATTAAGTTAACTGACATCATCATTAACAGTTGATGATATACGACTATAGTTGATGAAAAGAATGTTTACATTGAAAGTAAACTTCTCATCGACAGAGATAATCGATAAGATTGTAACCTTGAATCAAATAACATAATCTTTAAACCGTTCATATCATATTCTATAGACATTGTAAAACTAAGAATTCAAATGTTTTCAAGAGTATAGCAGACAAAATGACACAGTAATCAAAACAATGTTTATGAGCTCAATCTTCAGTCATATTTCCCGTGTAAGTAATCACTAATGACAAATAATGTAGTAAAGATAAAAATAGAAATGACCGTATTATAAGCAGAGATGATGGTGGCTATCAGTGTAATCCAGTACTAGAGTTACATCCTATTTGAGATTCGCCAGTTGGATGAATCTGAACCTTTAAATGAATTAAACTAACTCGAAGTTAAATATAATCGAGTTTATGTCACAATCATATATCGACTATTTTACTGACAAGAATCAATAACTGTAAATACTAATTATATTTTTTGTTACATCTCAATAAATGGGAAAATTGTATTTCTGACATTTCGCGACTTAATGTAATCAACTTATTCTGAAGAAGCGGCTTACATTAATTTACGAAACTTCAGAAATACAATTTTCCTACTCATTGGGATAACACAAATATTGATAAACTTTAATTAATTCTGTTTGTGCAGAATCCAGTAAATCTATTTATTTATTAAAACACATAAACATTGGTAAAAGGAGGCACCAAATAGATATGCGCCACACAAGTCATTTGACTTGTGTGTGGGTAATACTGCCCGGGTCCCTAAACTGAAGCAGGTGGTTTTCTTAGGAAGTCACACCCAAAGCCTTCGACCGGAAGGTCTCATCCACAAGGCAGTGGAACATCGTAAGGAGATGCACTACCATGGTAGCCAGTGATCAACAATTGGTTCATATGCCATTTGTTCCCTCAAGATCATGGAGCACATGTGCACCATTGGTTTGGAATCACGGTTTTCCAACTCTTCTAAGTGGACCCTCCATATCCACAAACCCGGTTAAAGCTTCGAACATTCGCCTTCCATCCTCTCAATTTCGTAAACAACAGTAATGCTGCGAGAAGGCAGTGAGTAGGACTTCCCTGTCAATGGTTGTATACATTTGGGCATGTGAGAGCATTTCGAGAGAGAGAGAGAGAGAGGACCCTCCCCACTCTCAGTTGTACCACGGCATTTGAGAGAAATCCAGTAAATCTAATCGAGCTATTCAAATTAAACTAAAATTAAATTGATATAAAACTTTTGAATCTCGCGGGGAGAGAGATCATGGATGCGTATTGCTAAGGAGTCCTATACTAGAAAGAAACAGCCATCCAATGCTTCCATATTTTTCATAGTGATTTATTTACAATGGACTCATGAATTTACTCATTGGATAAATATTATTAAATCCTTATTTAATACATCATTATGTAAAAATTTTAATAAATAATTACATAGAAATTACCTCTTCTAATTCATGTAATTTACATCGTAATTCATGTAATATTTTTTTAGTATCCGCTTCATTGAAACGTGAATTCATTAAATCTGTTTGTAATTGATTCATAGTAGTTGATAATAATTCATCATTTTTCATTTCATTATAATGATTACCACCTTTTATTTGATAATCACGATTTCTTGATCTTGGTAATGTACAAAAATCATATGAATTATTTAATTGTTGTTCATGTAATGAAGAAGAAGAAGAAGAACAAGTATTATTATTATTAGTAGTAGTATTAGTATTATTAGTAGTATAGTCATTCTGAATATTATAAGTAGGTGATGAGAAACCATTAACAAGTGATTGATGTATTGTATCATTATTGGTATAATTCTGATTTGGGTTAGATATATTTGTGATTGTTGGCTTATCCATAGAGATTGTTGTATTTGTATTAGAAACAGTGGTATTTATTATCTTTTCATTTGTTGGCAGTAAATCATCATGATTGATTGTGGTTGATTTCTGTAAATGAATTTCGAAAAAAAAAAGATAAAGATTTGGAGGATAAAGAAAAGTGAATTGTTTGAGAGATAGAGAACCAACAAAGATAAATATATCTTTTTACAGAGATAATGATTGAAGTATAACTCTTACAGTCATTATATCAGGGAAGATATTCAAAAAAGCTTCATTTACTGTACGAATTGTTTATTATTAATAGTTGAAGGAGATCGATAAATTATTGTGAACCTAGGAATCTTGCTAGTAAACAATTATAAGAAAGTTTTATCAACAATCTCTAGAAGATTTACATGCTCTCATAAACCTAGTCCCAATTAGTGAAGTTGTCATCGAGTGCTTTAGACAGTGGATTAAAGCTCCCTAGATTAGAAGTATTGATATCAAATGATCATTGAATGATATTCTATGTTATGACTTTTCTAATCTTTCCTTTTATCATACAACTTCATCCACAGATTTATTAGGTGTCATTGAAAGATAGATGTTTTTAAACCATAGATGATTAAACATAATACATAGGTTCTAATTACCAATAACTTCTCAATAACAAATATATCAAAAGTTTTATGTTATACGTATTATAGGCATATGACACTAGTTTTCTAGCTTGTTACTTAGACCTAGAAGCAAAAAATCAATAAGCTTTGAAATATTTGAAAGAACAGCGATCTTACTACCCATTTCTTGATTTGAAAGAACATGGAATTGAGGATCTTTAGAATCTATTGAAATTCAATATAGGAACATAAGGCTTCAAAAGAATGAATTTTTTTCTTCTTCTTAATGGTTTTTTAGAGGGATATTTATTAACATTCCCTAAGAGGAGGCAAGTAAAAATGCACTAGGAAATTAGGAAAAAACAAACTAACTAATACGGAGATTATCATCATTGAACATCATAAGATTTGGCAAAAAAATTTACATCGTTCCAAATTAACTCATTTAACATCCAATCATTGATAAAAGATCAAGCAAAGTACAAATAATGAAGAATAGTAACACTGATAGTAAAAACAAATTCAACTGATGTCTGAAATGTACACCTATTAGGTACTGAAACTCGTTCAGAAAGTCTTGATTTCAGTACTTAGTGGGCTCATGTGTAAAGAGTAGTAAGAAGTCATATAGTAAAAACAAAATAACCGTCTGATGATCACTAGTTTGTTAATAACTGTTCAATGAGAATCAATCCAATAATATAAACTAAATTTCAAATTAAACGAATAAGAAGATTATATCCTGGAAATAATTATGGAATGTATTTCAGTAATTTTCAGAAGTAAGTATGGAAAACAATTAAAATTGCTAGTATAGGGGTTGTGGAGATTATTAAGTTTTTGATCGAGATCATGAACCGATTGATGTTAGACCACCACAATTGAAAACCTGGAAGCCCTGGACGGCTGTTTCGTCCTATTGTGGAACTCCTCAGCAGTGCGCATCCACGATATATAGTATATTCGATTTATGGTTCGGAGTGGAATCCAGATTAAACGTTTCATTACAATCGGAACTCATCAGGTGAATGTACCCAAGATTAAGGAGTTGATATTCACAATGAGACACATATTTTTCACTTTGAATGCCTAACATACTATCTATTCAGTTGGAAACTATTACTGATACTAATCCATTCGATTATAAAATCAATTCAATAATAGAGATCAATATGCAAATGGGTTACTTTGAACTACATATATCTAGTGCAAACAATAAGACAATTATGTATTAAATTAAATTACAATGCGTTGTATTTGAAAAGTATTTAGGCTCTAATAATAGAAAGAAAAAATGTTAACAATTTATTTGAAACAACTTTGTTTCCATGATTTATCTTATCTTTATTAAGTTGACATATGAAATATTGATGAATGTGCCAATATCAAAATGAACAGTCATAGAATTCTCTTATAGATACAACATACATTTGGTTGACGATTAATTCTTTTGAGAAGTATTTAATCCCTCTCTATTCCACCTCAACCCCCCCCCCCACCTTGTATAACTTTAAATATTAAAATGAGATCATAAAGTGATTGTCAAGATGTAGATCATTTTAATAATAATGAACTAAGCAACATACAGAAAGTAATAATACGTTTATCTACAGATATTTACTGATGACATTTTCTTTTTAAGTATAGAAAATGAATAAGGTCTCTCTGTGTCAGATTGGAAACAACAACAACAACAACATAGTTCATACTTAATTTAGATGAAAAAGGATGAGTATCACATGTTCATTTAATCAAAAGTAAAAAATGTAACTGACATTTATATTATATGAAGCAAGAAATACAATTACAAACATCACTATAGTAAATGCTTTTATCAATTAGCTGTTCATTATATTATGCTAATGAAGTGTGACAACATGGACTGATATATATACGTGTCTGGTCCTAAGTTGTAGCTAACTGACTAACTTCTATTGAAGCATCATCTAGTTTTTTTTTTATGACCGTGAATCAAAACATCATACAGTTTTACAAATTATTCCAGGATTCAATAGCTGAGTGGATAACGCGATGGCGCTTGAAGTGAATGGTACTGAGTTCGAGTCCCAGAGTCAGCATCAACTCGGAGATGCAGGTACAACCAGCTGACGACTCCAAAATAGGACGAAACACGCATCCTGGATTCCACTACTAGCCACTATCCATATAAGCCCCCAAATGCTCTGGTACGACCGAGAGTGAGGAGAGTCCCCTCTCCCTCTCCAAACGCTCTCACATGGCCAGGTGCCTACAACCACTAACAAAGAAGTCCTACTCAATGCATTCTCGCAGCATTACTGTTGTTTACGAAATTGAGAGGACGAAAAGCGAATTTCCGCCGCTTTAACCCGGTTAGTGGACACGGAGAGTCCACCTGGAGGAGTTGAAAAACCCTGATTCCCAACCAGTGGAGTAAGTGGTCTCCAGGATTTTGACAGAACAAATGGCATATGAACCAGTCGTTGGTTACCGGCTACGATGGTACTGCGTCTCCTTACGATGCTCCACTGCTTTGTGGATGAGATCTTCCTAAGAAAACTACCTGTTTCGGTTCAGAGACCCGGGCAGTATCACAGCCTTCACACAAATCAAATGAGATTTGTGTAGGGCATATGTATCTGGTGCCCCCTTGTACCAGTATTTATGTGTTCAAATAAATAATAAATAAATAAGAATTGCTGGATGCTACGTTTTACAAAACGTAGGACAAACAACGGACATTGTTGTTTTGAATGCCTTTATTAATGGTTGTTTTCAGCAACTTCGGCAGCATTTAAACTAAGTATAAATTTAATTTTCCAATTTTTTTGAAATGTCCATTCTGATTAATTTGTGATTAAATCAATTCATCCCTATGATGAATTTAGATAGAGTAATAAGAAGACGTAGATCATCAAGTGATCTGATAATCTGAATCTTCTTATTATACTATCCAAATTTATAATTAGCTATTTGTACAGCTTATATTATCTTTGCAGGTTTTCATATTCCCATTAGGAGTTTACTTCCGCATGACGTAGAAGTTATGTTGTCTAGAAGTATGTTGAAAACTTCATCATTGTATTATCCAGTTCAGAGAATATAAAAAGGATCGAAAGCATCCATTTAACTTTAACGCTCTCTCCATCATTATTCAAACTAACTACTATTTATGTTTATACGTTGTTTAATATCAACAACGACAAGAACCTTACTTCTTATTAGGTTTCTGTAAGTAGGTGTACAATCATCAAGAGCAAAGAAATTTATACATAAATAAGCATAAACATTGGTACAAGAGGGCAGCAAATAGATATGTGCCACATAAATCTTTCGATTTGTGTGAAGGCTGATATACAACTCGGGCGCCAAAACCGAAGCACGAGCAAAGAAGTAAATATAGAATAAATACTTACCAATAATAATTTATCTTGTTCATCATTATTTTCAATACTTTTATTAGTATTATTATTCAATGAAAATTCATTAGTTATTAAATGAGAATTAGAATTTAAATTAGCATATTCACGTCTTAATATAGATAATTCACAACGTAATGCAATGGTAGTTTCAGCTTCTTGTGCTCGAATCAATTGACATTTAACTAAACGATCAGCCATTACTCCACTTTCCTATAGTAAGATTTAAGTAAAATGATAATAGTTAAGAAAAATATGGTAATGAAAAGAGAAAAAGCAGTTTTAAACAAAATTGAAATGTAATTTGCATGTGAAATAATTTAGTTACTCAGTCAGTCAGTCACTCAGCTACAACGTAGAACTAGACACATACATGCACCAATCCAAGTTGCCGTACCTCATTAGCACAACAAGATGAACATCAAATTCATAGAAGTAGTTAATTCAATCGTGGTAATATATAAAAGAAAGATTGCATATAAGGATATAATACAGGAAAAAAAAATTAGTTGGTAGAAAGAAAGATACATAGCAATTTTAATCTCATGGTTTGAGGGAAGACAGAGTGTATAAACCTACACCATTGTGATCAATTCTCAGCCATGTTACATACAGTCTCTAACCATTGGTTATGATAGTCACGCGGACACCAACCAAGTAGTCTGCATCTGCCAACATGGCTTAGACTAGAAGTTGGTGACTTCAAGCACTGATTCCACGTTTTAGTTTCGCCACCCCTAACTTTCTTCCAACCATCCACAACACTAATCAGCATTGCATGTTGTGGTAATCGGTGTTCAGCCATACGTAACACATGGCCCAACCACCTTTGTCGATGAAGATTCACAACCTAACCAATTGATTTAACACCATTCGCTAATACTTTGTGTCTAACCTCACTATTACTTACCCGATGATCCCTTCCCTATAAAATCGGTAAGGATAAGATATAAAGCTGAACCTATGGCTATTACATCAATTTGCCTATAATAAGTGTTATGAAAGAGACATCACACTACTGTCAGTACAAGGAAAGGTTTTCGACAGTGTTGCTGAACCGAATAAAACACCCAGTAGACGCCCAACTTCGAGATCAACATGCTCAATTCCGTAAGGATCGGTCGTGCACAGACCAAATTGCGACAATACGGATCATCGTCGCACAATCAGTTGAATGGAACTCGTCACTATATATCAACCTCATTGACTATGAAAAGGCATTTGACAGTGTGGGTAGGAGAACATTATGGAAACTTCTTCGACACTATGGAGTTTCACACAAGACAAAATCTGTTAAACTATATCTTATTTACAAAATATAAAATGTATGTAAAAGATTTAGAAAGCATGTGAACTAATTAAGCAAAGATGGATAGTGGCTAGCAGTGGAATCCAGGACTCGCGTTTCATCCTATTTGGGACTCATCAGCTGGATGTACCTGATCAATTGCAGTCCTAAATAACAATGGGAAGATACAAGTAAAACACCACCATGTGAACTAATCATTAAATTAATTCAATTTATCTTCTATAATGATTGTTGTTATTATTTTGAGTAAACATGAATGCATTAAAGAGTACCCATAATATGTATATAGAATCAACAGATTGAAAAAATTGAACAGAAAATAGTGATGATAAACAAGTTAAGACTTCGCATATCATCAATCGAAAACATGCAGATTGGCATATAATAATATGAATAAATGATATATATAAATATATATATCCATACATAATTAAGTAAATTCAAGAGTTCTACTGTATAGACCTGAAATTTGGAGAATTACCATAACCATCATCAATCAAGTACGAATATTTATAAACAATTATCTACGCAAAATATACTAGATCCGTTGACTGGATACTATCAGCAACAATCTGTTGCTGAAGAAGGAATTAGGAAAAGACGTTTGAAGTGGATAAGACATATATTACAGAAATTACCAAACTGTATCACGAAGCAAGCGCTAACATGGAAACCTGAAGAGAAACTTGAAAGAGGAAGAACAAAGAAAACACTGCGTTGTGAATAGGAAGTAAACATGAACGGGATGAATAGAAACTTGAAACGACTGGAGAGGATTGCCCAGAACACAGAGAATGCTGATGGGCAGGTTATGCTCCACCATGAGTGTTAACAGGCGTAAGTAAGGAATTACAAACTTATCTACGTATTAAATACAACATTAGTTATGATTTAGAAATGTATCATGAGCTCATTTTTATGCAAATTATCTCGATTTGGTCAATTAAATAAATCAAAACTCGCACATACATACATACATAATAATGATAGCTTGAATAAACACTATAATAAATTAACCTCACCTCTTCTAAACGGGCTAAACGTTGTAATAATAATCCATTTTCAGTACGAAGACGCTAAAAGTTAAATGAAGAAAGAAAAAGAAAAGAAAAATATATAACACTTTCAACTAAGGCACATTTAGAAAAGTTAACACAGTTTACTTGAAGGTTTCAATAACCATCAGTTAGTGATTGGTAAAATCTATAAATAAATCAAGATTTTCTGATTACTTGATTTTAATATCGAATATTAAAATATATTGCAAAACAGTGATTAACAAGAAAAAAAAACTTATAAAGCAGAACCTTCAAAGTGAATTTGATGTTCTGGATTCTACCCATAACAGAGGTGTTTCCAATATGACGTTTCATTCATCTTAGCTTTACGTTCAAAGACACTGAGAAGAATGACAGAAATGCATTAATTTTTTATCAAACTTTCCATGCATTAGGCAATGTATCTGTGGTGTGAGCTACTTATATTCATATAAGTAGTATATAACGTGCGTTAAATAAACGTAAGGTCCGGCAGCAGAAGATGGCGAAGATCAAGAAAGGAAGAGCAAGAGCACAATGCAATTGTAAGAAAACACATGTACAATGGAATGGGAGACAATGGATTAGTGTTTGCAACGGGAACAGTACAGTTTGATATGATGGAATGATATTTTGCAAATTGACGATTGACTTTATGGTATTCACATTTTATTGAGATAGTCTGTAATCGATTGTCCCCACCCGTGTTCATGTCCACTACATTTGGTGTCGCTGCCAACCAGGAGAGGAGGAGTGTGCTGTTCTGCGGACGCCGTTGCGGGCCTGGAGTTGAGGTGCCAGTTGGGGCGGTCTGGTGCGGAGAGGTGGCGTCTGGTGAAGTGTCCTGGCGGGGCTGCGTTGGCTGTAGCGGGTGCTGTCGACGGAGTGGGGCGTCGGGACGCGCGGCTGCTGGGCGGACATCGGATGTAGATGGCTCAGCAGGCCGGTGGAGTGCGGATGTCAAGCGTCCCAGGTGCCGGGTGGATGTTGGTTGTTGTTACCCCGGCAGGTCGACAGAGCTGTGGAAGTCAGCGCGCCGCAGACTCAACATCTTGACGGAGAGCGTGGCACAGACTGCAGAGACGGAGAATGTTGCACGGCGAGCATGAACCACCACAAGAACGACTGCTTTAAGGGGGGGACGAGTGTGGTGTGAGCTACTTATATTCATATAAGTAGTATATAACGTGCGTTAAATAAACGTAAGGTCCGGCAGCAGAAGATGGCGAAGATCAAGAAAGGAAGAGCAAGAGCACAATGCAATTGTAAGAAAACACATGTACAATGGAATGGGAGACAATGGATTAGTGTTTGCAACGGGAACAGTACAGTTTGATATGATGGAATGATATTTTGCAAATTGACGATTGACTTTATGGTATTCACATTTTATTGAGATAGTCTGTAATCTTTGTGCTAAATACAGTCGATTGTCCCCACCCGTGTTCTTCTTCACTACATTTGGTGTCGCTGCCAACCAGGAGAGGAGGAGTGTGCTGTTCTGCGGACGCCGTTGCGGGCCTGGAGTTGAGGTGCCAGTTGGGGCGGTCTGGTGCGGAGAGGTGGCGTCTGGTGAAGTGTCCTGGCGGGGCTGCGTTGGCTGTAGCGGGTGCTGTCGACGGAGTGGGGCGTCGGGACGCGCGGCTGCTGGGCGGACATCGGATGTAGATGGCTCAGCAGGCCGGTGGAGTGCGGATGTCAAGCGTCCCAGGTGCCGGGTGGATGTTGGTTGTTGTTACCCCGGCAGGTCGACAGAGCTGTGGAAGTCAGCGCGCCGCAGACTCAACATCTTGACGGAGAGCGTGGCACAGACTGCAGAGACGGAGAATGTTGCACGGCGAGCATGAACCACCACAAGAACGACTGCTTTAAGGGGGGGACGAGTGTGGTGTGAGCTACTTATATTCATATAAGTAGTATATAACGTGCGTTAAATAAACGTAAGGTCCGGCAGCAGAAGATGGCGAAGATCAAGAAAGGAAGAGCAAGAGCACAATGCAATTGTAAGAAAACACATGTACAATGGAATGGGAGACAATGGATTAGTGTTTGCAACGGGAACAGTACAGTTTGATATGATGGAATGATATTTTGCAAATTGACGATTGACTTTATGGTATTCACATTTTATTGAGATAGTCTGTAATCTTTGTGCTAAATACAGTCGATTGTCCCCACCCGTGTTCTTCTTCACTACATTTGGTGTCGCTGCCAACCAGGAGAGGAGGAGTGTGCTGTTCTGCGGACGCCGTTGCGGGCCTGGAGTTGAGGTGCCAGTTGGGGCGGTCTGGTGCGGAGAGGTGGCGTCTGGTGAAGTGTCCTGGCGGGGCTGCGTTGGCTGTAGCGGGTGCTGTCGACGGAGTGGGGCGTCGGGACGCGCGGCTGCTGGGCGGACATCGGATGTAGATGGCTCAGCAGGCCGGTGGAGTGCGGATGTCAAGCGTCCCAGGTGCCGGGTGGATGTTGGTTGTTGTTACCCCGGCAGGTCGACAGAGCTGTGGAAGTCAGCGCGCCGCAGACTCAACATCTTGACGGAGAGCGTGGCACAGACTGCAGAGACGGAGAATGTTGCACGGCGAGCATGAACCACCACAAGAACGACTGCTTTAAGGGGGGGACGAGTGTGGTGTGAGCTACTTATATTCATATAAGTAGTATATAACGTGCGTTAAATAAACGTAAGGTCCGGCAGCAGAAGATGGCGAAGATCAAGAAAGGAAGAGCAAGAGCACAATGCAATTGTAAGAAAACACATGTACAATGGAATGGGAGACAATGGATTAGTGTTTGCAACGGGAACAGTACAGTTTGATATGATGGAATGATATTTTGCAAATTGACGATTGACTTTATGGTATTCACATTTTATTGAGATAGTCTGTAATCTTTGTGCTAAATACAGTCGATTGTCCCCACCCGTGTTCTTCTTCACTACATTTGGTGTCGCTGCCAACCAGGAGAGGAGGAGTGTGCTGTTCTGCGGACGCCGTTGCGGGCCTGGAGTTGAGGTGCCAGTTGGGGCGGTCTGGTGCGGAGAGGTGGCGTCTGGTGAAGTGTCCTGGCGGGGCTGCGTTGGCTGTAGCGGGTGCTGTCGACGGAGTGGGGCGTCGGGACGCGCGGCTGCTGGGCGGACATCGGATGTAGATGGCTCAGCAGGCCGGTGGAGTGCGGATGTCAAGCGTCCCAGGTGCCGGGTGGATGTTGGTTGTTGTTACCCCGGCAGGTCGACAGAGCTGTGGAAGTCAGCGCGCCGCAGACTCAACATCTTGACGGAGAGCGTGGCACAGACTGCAGAGACGGAGAATGTTGCACGGCGAGCATGAACCACCACAAGAACGACTGCTTTAAGGGGGGGACGAGTGTGGTGTGAGCTACTTATATTCATATAAGTAGTATATAACGTGCGTTAAATAAACGTAAGGTCCGGCAGCAGAAGATGGCGAAGATCAAGAAAGGAAGAGCAAGAGCACAATGCAATTGTAAGAAAACACATGTACAATGGAATGGGAGACAATGGATTAGTGTTTGCAACGGGAACAGTACAGTTTGATATGATGGAATGATATTTTGCAAATTGACGATTGACTTTATGGTATTCACATTTTATTGAGATAGTCTGTAATCTTTGTGCTAAATACAGTCGATTGTCCCCACCCGTGTTCTTCTTCACTACATTTGGTGTCGCTGCCAACCAGGAGAGGAGGAGTGTGCTGTTCTGCGGACGCCGTTGCGGGCCTGGAGTTGAGGTGCCAGTTGGGGCGGTCTGGTGCGGAGAGGTGGCGTCTGGTGAAGTGTCCTGGCGGGGCTGCGTTGGCTGTAGCGGGTGCTGTCGACGGAGTGGGGCGTCGGGACGCGCGGCTGCTGGGCGGACATCGGATGTAGATGGCTCAGCAGGCCGGTGGAGTGCGGATGTCAAGCGTCCCAGGTGCCGGGTGGATGTTGGTTGTTGTTACCCCGGCAGGTCGACAGAGCTGTGGAAGTCAGCGCGCCGCAGACTCAACATCTTGACGGAGAGCGTGGCACAGACTGCAGAGACGGAGAATGTTGCACGGCGAGCATGAACCACCACAAGAACGACTGCTTTAAGGGGGGGACGAGTGTGGTGTGAGCTACTTATATTCATATAAGTAGTATATAACGTGCGTTAAATAAACGTAAGGTCCGGCAGCAGAAGATGGCGAAGATCAAGAAAGGAAGAGCAAGAGCACAATGCAATTGTAAGAAAACACATGTACAATGGAATGGGAGACAATGGATTAGTGTTTGCAACGGGAACAGTACAGTTTGATATGATGGAATGATATTTTGCAAATTGACGATTGACTTTATGGTATTCACATTTTATTGAGATAGTCTGTAATCTTTGTGCTAAATACAATCGATTGTCCCCACCCGTGTTCTTGTTCACTACATATCATTCATACACAGATATATATATATATATATATATATATATATATATATATATGTATTGAACTAATTCACCAGGTTACTTACTTACTCACGCCTGGTACTCCTAATGAAGCATAGGCCGCCGACCAGCATTCTCCAATCCATTCCGTCCTAAGCCTTCCTTTTTAGTTCTATACAATTGTTGTTCATTCTTCTCATATCTGTCTCTGCCCCCGAATGCCCTAGTACGGCCGAGAGTGGGGTGAGTCCGCTCTCCCTCTCGAAATACTCTTACACGGCCACGCGTATACAGCCTCTACCAGGGAAGTCCTACTCATTGCCTTCTCGTGGCATTACTGTTGTTTACGAAAATGAAAGGACGAAAAGCGAATGTCCGGCGCTTTAACCGGATCACAAACCAATGGTGCACATGGGCTCCAGTATCCTGAGTGAACAAATGGCGTATGAACCAATCTTTGGTCACCGGCTTCCATGGGATTGCATCTCCTTACGATGCTCCACTGCCTTGTGGGTTAGACCTTTAGGTCAAAGGCTCGGGGAGTGGCCCCCTTAGAAAACCACCTGCTTCGGTTTGGGCACCCGGGCAGTATCACAGCCCACACACAAACGATGAACTCGATGTCTTT